TGTGTGTGTGTGTGTGTGTGTGTGTGTGTGTGTGTGTGTGTGTGTGTTCCCCTAGGCAATTATAATGTTCAGGCAGAGTGTGAACTAGGGGTATGAAAAGATAAGGAATGAGAGATTGGAAAGGATCCTCTATGCTGTTGTTTCTTCACCATGCCCAGATAACTACTAATTGTATTAGTCAAAAAAACGGGCCAGTTTTTAATTGACATTTTCTGTTCACTGTAATAGGAATCTAAAAATATGTCTTTTCCATGTGTTTCATAATAGAAAAAAAAGAGACCATTATGATTTTTTTTCCAAAATTGACCATTCATGCATTAAAAAAAAATGCTGCTTATCAATGGCTTTGGGTTTGCTGTGCCTCTGAGAGGAAATCTCAAATCCATTAAGCAATCGTTCCCCATTTCCCACTCCCCTTGCCCCGGCAGCAACCAATCTGCATTCTGTTTCTATGGATTTGCCTATTCTGGATATTTCATGTAAATGGAATCACATACTAGGTGACTTTTTGTGTCTATATGGCTCCTGCTTTTAAATTTTAATTCATTATTTCCCTGTAGCCCTAATACTCCTTCCTGTCAAAGTCACTTTATCCCCAATATACCTATCCCTACCCCCATCATTATAGAACCAGTTCTAATGTGCTTGATGTGCTTAGGCATGCTCATATCCTTGTAAAATATGCGTTGTTGTCATAAGCATCTGTGTGGTCTCAATTTACTTAAATGTTTTCATGATCGTTTGCTCCTTCTAAGGGCACCATTGTATCCTGTAGAATGCATCACTGCATTTTACTTATCCACTAGTGATGGACACTGAGCTTGCCTCCATCTTCCATCACAAATCCTGCTATGATGACCATCATTGTACCTATCCTTACATGAACCTTTGCAAAGATTGATTTATATATTAGCTGATTTTCCAAGTGCAAACATCTAGTTCGGAAGTCAGGATTTTAACCCTGCTGGTGTGCAATTTAGTGCATTTTGTAAAAGGCAGGAGGGAATGAAAGTGTAAATGGCAGCAGGAGAAATTAACTTTAGCCTTCCTCCTCTTCTATCTTTCTTGGGTGGATGTTGTTCCTTCTTTTACTTCTATGTAGCACCAAATCGGAAGGTGACATTGCATTCTTCTAGTTCTTTCCTGCTACTCTCAGACCATAACCTTCCCCTGTCACACTCATAAAGCTATGGCATTTTCTACCTGTTCTTACATCTATTATCAGAAGACCTCATAATCACTCTTCCACCTTCAATGTAGATGTGAGTATGTTTCCTAGTCCACATTTTTATCTTTGTATGTGCCACACATGGATAGGCTTTAAACTTCCAAGGGCACAGTCTATCTAGTATCACAGCCCGAAAATCCCCTAATCTACCATCACTCCATTTGCACAACCTCACCTGTAGTTACACTTGGTCACTACCTGGAACTGCATCCCCTCTATCTTATTCTATTAGACTTGTCAGTCACTGACAACAAAATCTTGGTCCCCAAGTTTTCTCAGGCTTTTACTTTCATGGTCATTGTTTTTTTTTTAACACCATTGAAACCTTCAATATCTTGAGCCCCTTCTTTTTTCTCCCAGTCCTTGAGTACCTTTCTGCAGCAATCCAACCTCATGCCTTCTACACATCTATAACCAGACTGCTGAGTGCTATGGAGAAGGTGACACAGTGGTGCAGGCCAGCATGGCCACCGATTTATTATCTCCAACCTCAGCTGACACCCCTCCCCCAGTAGCTATCTGCCATCCTTTTACATGCCTCTTAGCAGCGTTGTTTTCCAAACCTACAGTGGCTATGCAGCTGTCACCAGTCTATTCCCACCTCCTTCTCTCTCCTTTCACCTCCTCTTTCTCCAGATCACCTTAGCTCCCAATTCACTGAGAATGTCAAGTGTCATGTAGGGCCTCTCTCACTTTCATGCTGCCCTTGTCCACAAGCATCTATTTTTGTGCCTCTTTTAGCCTCCTCACCTACTCTCGGAAAGGAAAAAAAAAAAAATCTTCAGCCTTTCAGGCTGTATAATTTCTTTGAGTGCTATTTGTCATTTAAACATAATGACAGCCCCAGCCAGCTCTATTCATCATTTCCCCTGAATATTTTCTAGTTTTTTTTTTTTTAATCTTTGGTCTGTTCTCACTATATTTCTTTACCTACAGGTGCTTTCACTGACATTCAGTATATTTTACAAAACTAGCTAAAAGGCCTCTTTTTTAAAAAAAGTTTTTTGACTCATCCCAGAGGTTAATGATTTTCTTTATGAGCTGCTATTGTACTTACTGTCTGTCTGTCCCTTTTATTTGGAACTTAGCCCATACTGTCTTGTCTTGTACTCACTTCTTTCCATGGTTTACTCAACAGATTGCAAGCTTCAAGAGAGCAGGGAAAATGTCTTATGTCTTTGTAACCCACACCAACCTAACATAGTGCCTCACACAGAATGAGGATGATCAGCCATATTTATAAAGCAATCAGTAATTCTGATCCAGGCCTTCCATGAGACCCTCCTTCCATGACTAATTTCATGCATAGCCATGTGACCGATATTAGTAAATATTGTGCCATGCATATTACAAGCTAGAGAAAACCTGCATGGAAACACATAACCTAACCTTTTCAAGCAGAGTTTTTCACTCTTTAAATTGTTCATTTTATGAAATTTTCATGTTATATGTAGTTACAATGGAGATATCACAAATCCATTCTGCAAAATTCCAAAACAATAGTGTGCTTTGGAATTTCGTTTGTGGTTTTGAAATAAAACATTAGTTTATGAGTGAAGCGTATCTTCAATTTCTCCAGATTTTTAGGAGCCCTTCCTCCCCTCATCTGTATCTACTCCATCCTTCTAATTTTGGGTTCTGCTATTGTTTTATTTTTCTATTTTTATAACTGGTAAAACTATTAAGTCCACTTGAAGCTTATTAAAACAAATAGATTTTGTGGGATGAATAGAGGGTATTGTGATCTCTGCTGATTGTTGGCACTTATACCAAAAGTAATGTTGGCTGACCTCTTTTATTATTCTTTATCCTTTTTTTTTTTTTTAACTTCAGTGAATAGCCTACACAGTTCAGGAAATTCATTAATTATAGAATTTTCCTCCTCAGTTAATGCAGTCATTTTGCTGAAATAATTTGTGGTTATTTCTCTTCTTTATTTTAATCAGTAGGATTTGGGGAATTGTCTGGCAGTGAGAAAATAATTAATGTGGGGATTTCGTTGGAAAATGTTTGGGGTAATTGTCTTTTAAGAATGTCCATATGTAAACAATCCAGTAATCCCAAATTTTCAAAGATTTTTAGCAATCTTCATATCACAAACTGAAAGACCCTCCTTTCACTTTCATTCTTTTTAATTTTTCATTACTATCACTAAATAACTCTAAATCAGAATTTCACCATTGTGTGTTCTACCTTGTGTTGTCTTTTAGCACTTAAAAAATTTTATTTTAATTAGAATTATTCATTGATACCACATATATACTTTAATTTCTATATTTTTATCTCATAGGTCACAAATGGGTACTTTTCATGGGGCAGTGGTTTAGCTACATTATCCAATATAGACATTCGAATTCCAACAGGTAAGAGTCATTTGTTACACATTTTTATAATTGTTCATGACCATAATCATGGTTTTCCAAGATAATTGAGCCTAACAAAAAGAGAAAGACTTTTTAAAGACATAAATATTATTTATGGTTACCTATTTGCACCGTTTTGCTTGTGAGCCACTATGTCACTGTGGGAATGGCTGGAAATGATAAGACCTGCCTTTCACTATGGAGTCTATACCTTTGGACAATTATTTACTGTTCATTTGCTTATTTGGGCAATTTAAACAGTGGGGTGGTCGATTTCACTTTTTGTTTGAGAAACACTTTAAAGAATGTGTATATGAGAAACTTATTTTCTATCCATGAGAAATACTGATGAAGTTTTCAAGATACTTAAAACTTAAATATCCAATAATTATATGAATTTAATATTTTTAAAAAGTTTTATTGAAGTGTAATTGATTCACAGAAATTCCACATATTTGAGGCTTACATTTTGATGAATTTTTGTATATATATATATACACACACGTGAAAACCGTCACCACAATAAAGGTACTCAATATGCAGTTGCTACCAAAAATTTCCTTCTGTTCTTCCGTTTTCGTTTTATTTTTTTGTGAGAAGAATAGTTAATATGAAACTTATCCTCTTAACTCATTTTAAAGTACAGAGTACTATATTGTTAATTGTAGGTACTAGGTACTACATTGACCACCAGATTTCTAGAACTTATTCATCTCACATAATGGAAATGCAGTAATAACCTATTGAACAACAATTTCCCATTTTCTGTTTCCCTCATCTCCTGGAACCCACCATTCTATTTTCTGCTTCTGTGAAAAGAAGTGTCTAAAATTTTTGACTAAATTAGTTAAAATATCTAAAAGAATCAAAATTTTAGATACCTCATATAAGTGGAATCATACAGCATTTGTCCTTTTGTGACTGCCTTATTTCATTTAGCTTAATGTCCTCTAGGTTCATCCATGTTGTTATGTATGGCAGGATTTCCTTCTTTTTATAAGACTGAATAATATCCCATTGCATGTATATACCACATTTTATTTGTTCATTTTTATGTCAATGAGCATTTGGGTTGTTTCAATATCTTGGTTATTGTGAAGGATGCTATAATGAAAATGGGGAAGTAGATATCTTTTTGAGAACTTAACTCTGATTCTCTTGCAAAAAATACCCAGAAGTAGGATTGCTGGATCATATGGCAATTCTATTTTTAGTTTTTGTAGGAACTTCATTCTGTTTTTCATGGTTGGCTACACACTTCTACATTAAAAGCAACAGTGTGCAAGAGTTCCAGTTTCTCCACATGCTCACTAACACTTCTTATCTTTCACTTTTTTTTTTTTAATTTCAGCCATTCTAACAGGTATGAGGTGATATATCATTATGGTTTTGATTTGTATTTCCCTGATGATTAGTGTTGCTGAATGCCATTTTATATATACCTGGTAGCCATTTGTATGTCTTATTTGGAGAAATATCTCTATTCAGGTTCTTTGCCCATTTTTTATTGGATTATTTGTTTTGTTTCTGTTTTAGTTTTGTTTTTTTGTTTTTGTTTTGCTATTTTATATTTTGGATATTAACCTCTTATCAGATAGATAGTTTGCAAATATTTTCTCTCATTCCATAGGTCTCCTTTTCATTCTGTTGTTTCCTTTGCTTTGCAGGAGCTCTTTAGTTTAATGTAATTCTACTTATCTAGTTTTGGTTTTGTTGCCTGTGCTTTGGTGTGAAATCCAAGAAATCACTGCCAAGTTCAATGCTAAGAAGATTTTCCTCTACTTTTTTCTTTAAGGATTTTTGTAGTTTCAGCTCTGACATTTAAGTTTTTAATCCATTTTGAGCTGAGTTTTGTGTATGGTGTAGTATAGGCTCCAATTTTACTCTTTTGCATGTAGATATTCAGTTTTTTAAATGGCTTCATTGATGATCAGTTAACTGTATATGTATAAGTTTATTTATGGCCTCTCTCTTCTCTTCCATTGATTTATGCATCTGTCTTTATGCAAGTACCACATTGTTTTGATTACTGTAGGTTTGTAATATATTTTACAAGCCAAAAGTATGATACCTCCAGCTTTGTTCTGCTTTCTTAAGATAGCTTTGGCTATTTGGGGGTCTACTGTTTTCATATGAATTTTGGAATTAGTTTTTCTATTTCTGTAAAAAAAAATCCATTGGGATATATATAAGAATTATATTGAATCTGTAGATTGCTTTGGGTAGTATGGACATTTTAACAATATTAATTTTCCAGTCCCTAAGCCCAGATGTCTTTTCATTTTTTTGTTTGTGTTTTCATCAATGTCATAGTTTTCAGTGTATACATTTTTCACCTCCTTGGTTAATTTTATTTCCAAGTACTTATATGCTAACAACAAACTGTCTTCAACTAAGAAAACAATACTAACCACAGTAGCATCAAAAAAATAAAATATTTAAGAATAAACCCAGTAATTTTTCCTTAAAATGTCTCTATAATCAAATAGAAATATTTTTTGACCTGGCCTGATGTTCATTAGGTCAAGATTTTTCTATTATAAATGCAAAACAAAGAGAGAAACTGAAGAAGATAGTGTCTTAGTAACTTAGCCCAAATCATTTTTATCCTATTTATTTTAGTCAAAACTGCCCTTTTTATTCTGAATGAATTGAATAATAAAGTTAAAGCTAATCTAGATGATCTGGGCAATTATTTCATTGCTCTCTTTACTGATATCAGCTATTCTCATAGTTTTAAAAATAATAAATCATTATATTTATATATATATATATATATATATATATATGTATTTTTCCCCCCAAAAAAGACTTATCACAGAAAGGAGCTGTTTAGAATACCTTATCGCTAGAAATCAAAACTGGGCCAGTGATTATAAAACATTAGCTTTTTCTAAATGTGTTTTGATTTTATTTCACTAAGAATTCCATCTTATTCTGTAGTTATCCTTTGTTTTGCTTTTCTAGGTCAGTTAACCATGATTGTGGGCCAAGTAGGATGTGGGAAGTCCTCTCTTCTCCTTGCCATCCTTGGTGAGATGCAGACATTGGAAGGAAAAGTTCACTGGAGCAAGTATGTGTATTTTTATTTGGCTTCTGTTGCTGTCTCATACATCTGACAATCTTCCAAGGAAAGAACTTAGAGAAATACATTTACATGTTCTGACTCTGAACACCCCTCAGAAATAAGCACAGCTTTAAAAAAAATTAGTGGTAACCTTAAATGTTATAAGTAAAAAGTTACAAAACATTTATTACAAAAGTTGTTTATAATAGCATAAACTAGTATATTGCTGAGACAAAAGTAGGTTTGAATTGTAAAGATAGATTTTTAAAGTTAAATGGGTAACACTTAAATAACTTAAAAGCTCATTCTATAATAAAATAAGTTATGGAAAACTTGCATTATTTATACGGCTTAAATAGAAGCAGTGCCTAAAAGGTTCAATGTTCAGAGAAAAAATGTCAAATTATCTTTTCCAAAATCTGTATAAGAAAGTAAAAATCAACTATTTATCCTATGCTTACTTAAACTAGACACTAGGATTACCTAATTGGAGATATGAATAGGGTTGATTAGTGTGTTGTGCAGTGCTAAAGACATGGAAAAGAAAGTGCATCTTCCAGAAATTTGAATGATTGCTTCCAGCATGATTTTTCTTCTAGATATTTGAATGGTGGTCAAAGCACATTGTGGTATTAAAAGTGATTCATAAATATGTTACATAATTGGTTAATAAAGAGCAAATTGTATTTATTTAGTTTGGCCTACGTAGTAGACTCCTCATAAGTAGTTTATGAAGAAGTTGGCTATAACTAATCTAAGAAATTAGGCTATAGACCAGTGGTTCTCAAACAGCTTTGGCTTTTGTCCCTGGGGGCATTTGGCAACCTCTGGAGACATTTCTGGTTTTGCAAGAAGCACTGGGTTGCTACTGGTCTGGTGGATAGAGGCCAGGTATGCTGCTAAATATCCTACAGTGCACACGACAGCCCCCGTACCAAGGGATTCTCTTATCCCAAATATCAATTGGGAAACCTACAGAAATTCTTACATATCATTTTGTAGCTACTATCATGAATTCTGTGGCTGAGGTGGCTGTTAACATATATATACATCTCTCAAGAATGAGCAGACTATGGCCCTTTTAAGAGTAGATTCTATTTTAAACTCCAATTGAAAAAAAAAATTGTTGGTTGTGAAATTCAGACTGAAACCAGTAGAAGTGTAAATCTGTTTTCAATGTCATTGGCAAGAGAAGAAGACTGAGAATTGTTGAATGTACATTTTATCCCTGTTGAGCAAATCTAGCAAATAGTAGTCTTGCAACTGTTGAGTGCGTATTTAGGAGGGAGCTCAGTAAATCATTGCTACCTCAGTTTGCTTCATGGCACTAGACAAGGTTTCCTCTGTCACTATCCTCAGGCACCAGATGATGTTCCCCTAGCCACTATCACTTCCATCTTGGATGAAGAAGCAGATCCCGCTGGACTTAATTATATTGTATGGCTTGTAAAACCATAATTAAGTTATTTGGTTTTTGTTTTTATCCTGATTTATCATCATTAAAACAGAGAGAAGGAATGACAGTGACAGAAGAGGCTTGAGATTTTATTTTCATACTACCAGGAAACTGTCCTACTATGGCCTGTTCCAAGTGTAATTTAAGTTTCCAGGCCTCAGCTCCACTTGGGCTAAATTGACCCCCAATATTATCATTAATAATTATCATTGTGTTAATAAAGAAATAATGTGAGAATGCAGAAAATATTCTTTATAGCCTAGTTATTTATTTTATTGCTTTCCTAAGCATGTATACCAGTTATATCGTATCTTATTTCATAAAGTTTTGTATTGTTTATTTAAAATAACATAGTATAGTAGAGTTGGAAAGATAAAGAAATTTTTAAAATATTGTTTAAATAATCATCTGAGGTTGTAATAGACATAAATGCATGTACCGAAGTCCTGTATAATTATAAAATATGGGCCACAAATTTCTCTCTGTACCTCATGGAAGCTAAGCCAAGAAGGAAACGTGAGGAACAAATAGAAATACATTTACTCAATAGAGGTTGATTTTCTTTTCTTGGAGAGAGCTATGAAAGAAATCTGCCCAGCCGTGGTTTATATCGGTAATCCCAGCACTTTGGGAAGCTGAGGCAGGAGTATCACTTGAAGCCAGAAGTTCAAGACCAACCTGGGCAACATAGTGAGACCCTATCTGTACAAAAAGTTTTAAAAATCAGCAGGGCATTGTGATGCATACTTGTAGTCCTAGCTACGTGGGAGACTGAGGCAGGAAGATCTCTTGACTCCAGGAGTTTGAGTCTGTAGTGATCTGTAAATGTGCCACCACACTCCAACCTAGGCGACAAAGAAAGACCATTTCTTTAAAAAAAAAAAAAGAAAGAAAGAAAAGAAAGAAACTAAAGAAATATCTTCCATATACCTCATAAAAAGTCAATAAAAGGTTATTTAATTGTTAATGTCCTTGATATTCCTAAAATTTATTCAAAAGCAAATTCCATGTGCCAATTATTACAAATAAAATTCAGAATATAATACTGGATTATAGATTATATAGTAAATATTTAAAGGTTTAGCGGGCATGCAGGAGGTGGATGTGGCATGGGTAGTATCAAATCAACATGGTCTAAGTATGTAGATCTTCAACATCTAGTTTGATCCAGGAATGAAATTAACTCCATTTGGAGAAATGCATAAATTGTACATCAGTTGGACCATCTTCTATGTTTAGTATGGAATACAGCTATTTTGTTTCTTAGTCCTTTTTATTTTCATTCAGCATTTACTGAGTACCTCCTTTATGCCAAACACTGATTTAGGTATCAAAGATATAGAAGTGAACAAGACAAGACAAATCTCTTTCTCATGCAGTTACAGTCTAGAACATGGACTGTATATACGTAATCAACAAGAAAAAGATATAATATTAGACTTTGATAAATGCCATGAAGATGATAAAACAAGGCAATATAGCAAAAGGTACTATACCTGTGAGGTGTGTTTGAGGATCCAAAAAGGGTCTAGAATGGCTGATAAATACTGACTGAGGCAGGTGCAAGCTGAGGCTTCCTAGAAAGGGAGGCAAGCCTTCTGGGTATGATATGGAGCTAAGATTTTGTTCTAAGTTCAGTGGGAAAATATTGCAGAAGTTTAAGTAGAAGAGTGATTTACATTTTGCAAAGATATGATATACAATTTGAAAAGATGATTCTGATTTGTTGTGTAGAGAATTAATTACAGGGGTAAGAGGGGAAGTGAGGAAAACCATTTAAGAGTTCATTTCACTAATTCAGATGAGAGATGAAGGTAGCTTGATGTACCATGGTAACTGTGAAATGGCCCCAAGTGAATAGATTCGGCATATACCTTGGAATCAGAGCCAGTAGGATGAAAGTGTAAAAAGGAAATTAAGATAATTCTGAGTATTTATAAAATTCCCATAAACTAAAGTTTTATTCAAAAATGTTTTAGTTCAACACACAAACAAATGAAAAAGTAATCCTCCAATACATTGAATAAGTTAATGCAAATTCTATTTTTATTTAATTAAAAGAATTACTTAATTTTCTTTCATGGTATTCTTAATATATGATAAAACATATTTTAGGATCAGGAATGTTCAGGGGAGTTCAAAAGAGTTATTTAAAAATAACTTTTTAAAAGAGTTATTTGCAATTGCTCTTTTCATTCCAGAAACAAAAGCTGTATGCCCAGTCCAATAAAAAAGGCATATAACTATCAATTAAAGCAAAGGTAATTTAGAAATTTTGATATTTATAAGCTGCTGATGTGTAAATGCTTAGAAGTCCTTTGCTTCAACAGACTGAATTGTTTCATATTTTTTAAAGCTTAAAAACAAACTAAATAATATGGTAAGATACCAAATATCTTGCTATCATTCTTTCACCATGATATGTGTCCCTGATTGCATAAATTTTATTTTTAAATGTGTCCTCATAGATAGGCATGAACAAAATCCAATAAAGTACTCTGACCTATTGCAGCAGGAAATATTTACTTTGGGCTGGAGAAAAGGCATTGATGTTCATCCAACACACACCTATGTGGGTAGAATGGGGTACACAAAGATGCTGATAGTTGTTTCCTTGGGAATTGCTCCCTTTGACCTAGTCTGACATGTGGTAAACGCAGAAGAGAAAAGATTAGAGAGAGGAAAGAGGAACAAAAACATTCTCCAAAACTGTCAGAATGCCGATGTGCACATCTGTCCTGCATCCAGGTGTGCCTCATATCTGTTGAAAAACAAATGTTGTGCCTGACTGAAGTTCTTTCCTGGTTGTCATGATAAGCAATAATTTCTACTGATATAATAGGAGCTAGAACTGAAAAATGCCTTACCTGATGGATGGTTTCAGTGAGAGAGTCCAGAATGCTTTTTAATTGTGGTGGTAATTACGTAAGAAAGAGCTGTCATTTATCTTTGTTTTCCTTTATTTTTTCCCTCTCACCCATGCCATCAACCATACTATTCTTCAGGCCCCTTCTGTCCTGATATTCTGACTTCCACTGTCTTGGTGTAATCAGCTATGTAACAGTGCTTCAATTATTTTCAGACAAATGGAGGAGTTATCCCTTTTCATGTGACTTTGCCTGGCATGAAGGAATAAGATATTATGTCAGCTTTCCTGGATCAGATGTAATATATCATGTTTGTGCCAAATCTAGTTTCCCTTCTTCCAAATGTCATTCCTGATTTAAACTTGCAAAACTCAACTTTCCCATTCCATAAAATTATTAACCATAAAACTTGGAAATTGCTAATACACTGTATCAACTTTAACTTTTGCTGTTGAAGGAAAATATACACAAATTCTACATGAGAGGTTTTCAGAAGTGAAACTTTATTTTCTAGAAGGGGATTTTATATCTGACCTCTTTGCAGTCTCTTGTTGTCTTGAGTGCTGTTGAGTACCACATCGAATAGTGGAGAATGAGTCTAGACAGAGCTAAATCCACATCTTTATTTTGGAAGAGAAAACAATATAACCTTCCACAATTGAATTTGATTAAACATACGGTATGTAAGAGGGCTGGAATAGGTAGACTTTGGAAGTTAAGGATTATAACATTATTCGTTAAAATGTTAGTGGAATAATAGGTTAATTTGCTCTTGGAAGACGATTACCTACAAATGGATCTATATTTACCTCTTTTTTCTTTCTCTGACAATAAGAAATGTGTGGTATATATAACTTTTAAAGGAGAATATACATAAATCCTTCAAGGAGAGGTATTCAGAAGTTAAGATCCCCTATGTGCTGTTTTGCATTTTTCAGGATCTTACTGGATTAATTAACCCTTTTTTCTTATGAGTGTCTTTGTTTATTACTCTTCACACTCCATTATGCCTCACCCATTTTTTTAAAAAATGGTCTTGCTTATCTCTCAATCTTCTGAAATATTCCTCTTTTTAACGATGTGGTCCACCCACACTTAACCTCTGTTTTGCTCCTTTACTCTGTGCATTGCAACCTGGATGAAAGGTTCTCACCAGTGACTGCGTAAGTGCTAAATCCCCAATCATTTGTCCTCAGCCCTACTTCTCCACAGATTTTGAAACTCTTCACCCAATGATGACTTCTTGAAATCAACTTTGCTCTTGGTTTCTGTGACACTTGCATTTATTAATTTGTTAAAAAATATTGGTTGCATACCAGTTATATGCAAACCATTGTATTAGCTGTTGGGGGAGAAATAAGTGAACAAGAGAAGCCAGGACCCTATTTTCATGAAGCTTACTGTTCAGCAGGGAAACCAAGAGGAAGTAAGAAAATAATTTTACAGTTATTTGATTAATGCATTATAAATACCAGAAAGAAGTACAAGGTTTTATAAGAACAAATATAGGTGACTTGACTGAGTCAAATCTGTGAGGTTGGCAAAGGATTTCGTTAGTGATCTCCAGTCTTGTTCCCTCTAGTTCATTTGTTGCATTCTGTGACCAGATTGATATTTCTAAACTGAACGTATATCTCTCTCTTATTTAAACCTTTTCAGTGGTTTTCTTTTACTTTCAGGAAAAGTTCAAGCTTTATAAAATGGTTTATGAGCCCCTTCATTATCTAGTTGGGCTTACTTTTTTAAGTTCGTTGCCATTTACACCTACATTTCAGCCACGCTGAATTTACACCACTTCCTTGTGTAACCAGGATACCTCATGGCTTTCTAATACATATTTTCTCGGGTCTAAAGGACTCTTGGCTTTTTATTTTTTTTTTCAGTTGGCACACTCTTAATTTTGCCTCTGGCATAAACTCTATTGTTTACTCTGATTTGCTAAAGGTGGCTTGGTTCTCTGGTTCTTTGTGTCCTTGTTTTTGGTTCATGGTTCTTGATTAGTGCCCTAATACCATCTTTTACCCCATCTGTCTTAGCCCTTGTTCCCTTATTATCTCCCACAAAAGTGAAAGTGGCATGAAAGAAGGAATGGATCTTTCTTGTTCGCTGTATCTCTAGCATGTGTGGCACTAAGTAGTGATCAATGCATATTTTTGAACTGATATTGAATAAATAGAGTCGGAATTTAATTAATCCTTATTGAATAGATTGATGAATTGTAAATTCATATCTCCACCTTGGGCTGACATTCCCAAATGTCCAACAGGTATTTATTTACACGTCTCATGGGCATTTCGACTTGAATGGCCGGAATACAGATTAACACATTCATTTCTGCCACACACGAGAAATGAATGAAATAAAGAAAGGGACTCTTCCTCCCCTTTCTTTCTCTTCCTCAAATTAGTTAAAACTATTGAAATCACCTATTGGATTTAGAGCACAGGAAATGAAGTCTAAATATCTTGGTATCTAAAGCATTTTGTGTGGAAAATATTATTCAGAAAAATGAGCATTTCCTTATTTTTTTATCAGTAACTTAAATCAGGGAATAATTATTACTGAGAGGAAATTTTTAGTCTGATACTGCTTTTTTTGCCTCTATCAGCCATCTCAAGACGTCATTAGCAGTGTGCAGTAGTGAAAATGATCCTAACTCTAAACCAAATATCATTAGGTAGCATAATTAGGTAAATTTTCCCATAAAAACATACAACATTTTACAAAGTCAAATAGAATCAATTTTTGGAGTTTTCGTAGGCATTAGTTATGAATAAGGTTATTGAATTTAGGTCTTTCAGAGTGTCAGAATTCAACTGACCCTAAATTATTAAAAATTAGAACAATAAAAGAAATAAGTCTTCAGGTGTCTTTCCTCATAATGCAGGCATAACAAATTGTGACTAATCAAAGCCCCCTTTTTACATAAATCGTATCAATAATTAATAATACTTAGATGTAGTTTGGTTTCTTGTGCATGTCTGTTTTTCTTACAAGCTCCTGAGGGGCCTGTGTGTTTTGTGTATCTTTGATGTTTAGCACCCAAGAAGTATTTCTGCTCCGGCTGTAGTGTAGCTAATTTGGAATTTAAATTTATTAAAATCAAATTTTAAAGTTTGGAAGGCCTTGGAAATACAGAATCTTTATGAAACTGGGAAACTGTATTCTACAGGGATTCCCCAATTATACAGCTTTTTGGAGCAGGATTGGCACTAGAACCCAAATCATTGCTATGAACCAAAATTTTTTATGAAGGAGAACAGTGCTATCTATGTTTTGGATGCTTACTAAGTAATTACTTCCTAGCTGATGAAGACATAAAGAAGAATATTTATGTGGTTTGTCTTTGAAATTAATATCAAAAACCATTTGGGAAATGTAGCCCTTTAATATGTCCAATGTTTATTGTGTCTCTTACCTGTTGTGTAAGCACATTGGTTCTATATTTATACTTCATAATTAATGAACATTGTTTGCCATACTTGCAGTGTAAATGAATCTGAGCCTTCTTTTGAAGCAACCAGAAGGTATTATTTCTATTTTAACCTGAGTTTAATAAGAATAACTTCCTTCCTCAGACTTTAATCTCTTTAATCTCATTTTGTTTATTCTGATGATGTATAGTTATTTATTAAAGTGTGCTAGCATATTTCCAACAGCAGTGGTTCACAACCTTGGCAGACTGCTAAAAGAATTCCTTTACCAAACAAAGTGGCTCCTTGTGTCAACTGTTTTCCTCTGACTGAGTCACACGTGTCCAGCTTTGGCTGAAACTCAAACTGTTTTCAGTCTTGGGATTTCATAAAATAAAAATGTAAGAACTAATACATATATTGATTTGAGTTGAACAGCAGTGGGGTCCACTTGTAAGGCAGAGATGAAGAGCCAAGTGCTTTATCTACTTAAAAAGGAAAAAAAAAAAAAAAAAAAACCTTAAGGACCCAAGTGGGGTGGGAAGGGAAAGCAGATATGTCAGAGGTTGGGAACCATTGTTTTACTGTACATATGATTATCTCAGAGACTACTAGCATACTATATACTATCATGTCTCCTATGCTCCTAAGATGTAATGTTTTAGAAAGATCATTGAACATTTCTAACTACTCTCTTTTTTAACCATGCTCACTTTTAACCATATTCCCTTCATTAGTACTCACAGATCATGAACTAACTGTGGAAATCTGACTTTTAAACTGATCTGCCCTCGACCCCACTCCTATCCCATCATCCTCTTCAGCTCACTATTGGAAACTATTGGAAATTAGAGTCTGATGTACAGATGTCTGGTAGAATTTGCAAGTCAAAAGAAGGGAGGGAGTTATTTTTTTAAAATATAAACTATTTCAATATATTTTGAAATATGCAGTTTTTAAATACATGATTTCAATATTGAAAGTTTCAGGGACTCCTTAAGATATTCTTTGTTTTGAAATATTTACGTATTATCTATTACCATGAAATATGTTAATGTGCTTAAGCCACAAACCCATACAATAATTATAATATCAATTAACATCTGTTTTTAAGGTTTGCATGTAGAATGTGTGGTTAGTAAACTGCTATTAGTATAAAGAAAAATATCTGTGGCTATTGGAGAGAGTAAGTTGTTATTAATCTTTTAATTACTTTTTAAATTAGAGTCATTTTAGAAAAGGAAATTTTAATTAGTTGTTTAGACCTTAAAACACGTCTTCAGTGTGCAAAACCAAATTTTATACATGTGACATTTTGATTCAATCCTTATCCTTTTAATTTAAGTGGCATATTTAATCATTTCTTAGTAAGGTTGGTAGTCTTTTAATTTTTCTCTTTTAGAAGTTTTCCGTTTCTGTGTTTGAGATACTTTACTAATTTTATTTTCTCTATTTATAGGAAAATCATACACAGCACAGTACTCTTGCCTAATCCTGGTATTTTGTTTTTCTTTTTCATTTTTCAGTAGGAACAGGTATTCTGTGGCATATGCAGCTCAAAAGCCTTGGCTATTAAATGCTACAGTAGAAGAAAATATTACTTTTGGAAGTCCTTTTAACAAACAGAGGTAATTTTGAACACATAAAGTTTAGAACTCTTTCTGATGTGTTTGGGAATGAACAATGGTTTCTGGAAACTTTACATCTGGTACTTTCTTCCATGCTGCCTCGTTTTTATCATCACCAAGGTCTTTTGAATCAGTTCTTTGAAGTCACATTGGAAGTTCCAGCCCATCTTGTACCCTTATTGAGAACAATTTGTGCAGCAAGACTAAAAGCAATTGAAGTGTATATCTGTGGGTTGGGGAGGGTGGGAGTGGGGGAGTGTTGCTTAAGTTGGTGAAAAGATAAAGAAGGAAAAATTCAAGTAAATTTCATAAAGGAAGTTTAACTGTGAAAAGAAAAAGAATGTAGGATCTCAGGGGTCTGGTAACTTGGAGCAGCCAGAATATGCCATCTTTCAAGCATCTTTTAAGTACCATTGCCACATAAGAAGGTATGACCCTTTCCTTGAGCCACTCTTACAAGAGGGGTCTTAGGACCCTAAGATGGGCCTTGAAAACTAAGGAGAGAAAGGTAAGTGGAGAAGTGGAGAGGCATGAGGAAGGAGGATAGAGGAGAAAAGTAGACCATACAAAAGACAAAACCTAAATTTTTCAGGATTCTTTAGAACCCAGGAGCAAACCAGAAAGAAAGAGATTAAGGAGGCTGAGACCAGATTGGGGGGGGGGGTGGTGCTTAAAAGCCAATCGGCTATAATGATATGCATTCTGTATATACAGATTCACATATGTGTATATATACATATACATGGAGCTATTTATGAGTTAGTTGGAATAATTACCCAGGCATGCAGTGTGTGTTGTCTACACTTGGGAATGACAGTAGAAATGTAAAAGAAGGGAGGTTGAGAAAAAAAACTGAAGAGTAACAATGGACAGATATCAACAGGAAGAAGAAGAGGGAAGATCAAGAATGACTCTACTATTTTAAGATGAATTGACTAAGAAAATAAAATCATGGCCATTTCCCCCAGTACCTTCAATCCCCACGCTTCCTTGTACTTCCAGTTCATCTGATTTCCAGTCCCAGCCTTACAGGAACTTGAGCACTGTCAGTCCTGTCTCCCTTGTCTCCTCCCTTCAGCACGCATGACAATGTACAAGGACACCTACTCGCAACCTCTGCTTTAGCCATAATGAACCTCCCTCCGTCCCTCACATTCACCATGAGCTTTTTTACTTTCTCAAGTTCCTTAAAGCTTCCTTACTCATTTTCTTCCTGAAAACTTACCACTCAACTTTCTGAACACAGTTTACGCTTTACCTCCTCTGAAAATTCTCAGAATGGTCAGTCACTTCTGCCTCTGTGTTCTAGGAATGCTTTGTACTCACTTCCATTATAACACCTAACAAGGTAAACTTATCATCATATGTTTTTGTATCAGTCTTGTGCTCTGTGAACTAGCTTTTTAAGAGTGGGAACCTGGCCGGGCGTGGTAGCTCACACCTATAATCTCAGCACTTTGGGAGTCTGAGGCAGGCTTATTGCCTGAGCTCAGAAGTTCGAAACCACCCTGGGCAATGTGGTGAAACCCGCCTCTACTAAAATACAAAAAAATTAACTGAGCATGGTGGTGTGCACCTGTAATTCCAGCTACTCAGGAGGCTGAGGCGGGAGAAACACTTGAGCCTGGGAGGCGGATGTTGCAGTGAGCCAAGATTGTGCCACTGCACACTCCAACTTGGGCAACAGAGTAAGATTCCATCTTCCAAAAAAAAAAAAAAGAGTGGGAAACAGTACTTATTTATCTTTGTATCCAGAAATGTAGTGCAGAAACTGGCATGTAATAAGTAATTCAGCAAATGTTTTATTTCAGCTTCTGAAGTATTGAACTTGGCACTTAGTTTATGGGCAATGTATTAATAGAGATCTAAAAATTCAAAATCATTTCTCCCAAAGGTACAAAGCTGTCACAGATGCCTGTTCTCTTCAACCAGATATTGACTTATTACCATTTGGAGATCAAACTGAAATTGGAGAGAGGGTGAGCTATATATAGTTTCATTAAATAATGAATAAAAAATCTAGAAAAGTCTTCCGGTTGTCTCTAATCATTAATAGAGAATCATGAAATTTGAGAGCTTAGGAGTTGTATGTTGTCCCAGTGACACGTTCCAGAAAAGCAAGGACAGGAGTCTTTGGATGCCATTCTTTCTTACGTATTAATATTTATTGAGTAATCACTGTATACTTACCATGGTACAAGTCACTTAAGAGTTCTCAAGGAAAAGTAAAACATAGTTCCTGGCTTTGAGCAAATTATTTTGCTTACGTGGAGCTTGCTGTAATGGGTTTGAAAACTGAGATTACTTTCAATAACTTCTCCCAATCTTGTTAAAATCTATTTATTCTTATTAAAGTGCTCTTTTTTCTTTGTGTAACCGTGTTTTGCATTGATGTCATAGTATTCAGACAAGCTGAAAAATATTTATACGTATAATGCTTAGAATAACAATGTCTTAAATGTTTTAATCATTATAAGTCCTGGGCAGAATCTTTATATGCATTATCTATTTTCACAAGAAATCTGTGTTATGGGTGTTATCGTTATCTGCATGTGAAGCTGCAAAAATCAAGGCCAAGAGAGGTTAAGGAACTTGCACAGTTGCCAAGATAGTGGTATCACCAGGATTAGTCCGGCTCTGTGGCCTTTGTTCTTAATGGCTGTTTTTTTTTTTTTGCTACATACCGCAGTGTGTATGAGAATGAACTTAAGTTCTGTGAGCCTCAGTTTCCACATGTGTAAAATAAAAACAATACTTACATCTTGCAATTGCTATGAAGAATAAGAAAAAAAAAAGTAAAGCCATTTATGCAAGTCTGGCACATACTAGGAGCTCAATACTAGTTTTTTTTAAAAAATGTATAATTAGTACTTAATATGCATGTTAAGTAAACTACAGACATAATTCAGGAAATAAGAAAAAATCTTGGAGTTGTTTGCATTTCCTAGCAAGTGTTTTGGTGATTGATGCTTCTTTACAGCAGAGCTCTCTATTACAGTGAAAGGAGGATTAACCATATCAGTCTAAAGCTATCTTAATTAATTTGAGAATTGTTGACCAGTAGACAGTTTTCATACCAGTGTTACTACAATTTAATTAATAAGTTACTAATAATTTAAGATTTTTTTAAAAAGACATTTGTATTTTAAGGTAATATTACCAACAGATCATTTACTAATATAAAAAATGGATATTTGGGGTGTCTTTTCTCTAGGGCATCAACCTGAGTGGGGGACAGAGGCAGAGAATCTGTGTGGCACGAGCACTGTATCAAAACACCAACATTGTCTTTTTGGTAAGAATATGGCTTTCCATTTTATTTCTATTTCATCCTTCCATCTGAACAAATGAGTCTTTAAAAAGATAAGTCAAGTAACTCAAGGAAAGATGGTTTAACTTGTGAAGTCATAGGGTATTTAGGGGAAATAAATCCTCGCAGTAGAGATCAGTAGATCAGTAGAAGATCAGCATATCTTGAGAGCTGGGGGATCCAGATTGGTATCCAAGAGACTGAAATGCCCTAAGTGGTTGCTTATCTGAGTTTCTTAACCAGGAAGAGAATTTGGATGATATTGGATCAACTAGGCAGGATCATAAGTCGTCTTATTTATATTTGATGACAAGGAAAGAAACGCCAGAAAATATACTCTTGGTAGACACAGGGGTAAGTAAGCATAGTATCCCATTCCAGCGCTGTGCAACTCAGGTTGTGGATACGCTTTATCTGTGATGCTCGCAGAACTGTAGAAATCTTGGTTCTGCTCTAGACCTGTGGCATAATCTGTAAAGGTACAGTCTAAAGTTTATGTCTTTAAAAGCTCTATGAATAATTTTCATCTTGAACTAATAACATATTTCTACCCATGGATCTAGAAATAAAATTTGATAGTTATGTCGATTATAATTTCGCTCTATTTTGGTCTCTCCAGCAGGACTTACCTAAAATAGCATACAAGTAGACAATGGGGAGATGCTGGCAGAGTATGTAAAGGCATCCCTGCCTTCTCCTTCCGCACAATTATTAACCACTTATAAATCTGGTTCCCAGAATAGTTTTAGAATCTTTACTCGATCTAATCTCTAGAACTTCTTCAAATAGTAAGTTGATTTTGGAGTTTCCCACTGAATTTGTATCTGTTATTGGGAATGGTAGCAGAATTTGAATATACTAATTCATCTCCCTAATACCTGTCTCCAAAATTATCCTCCCAGAAAACCCCAAAACAGCATGAAAGCCATTGCAGGATCTAACAGTAGCCTATGTAATTGTAATTTTTTTTTTTTTTTTTGAGACACAGTCTTACTCTGTCACTCAGGCTGGAGTGCAGTGGCACAATCTCGGCTCACTGCAACCTCCGCCTCCCAGGTTCAAGCAATTCTCCCACCTCAACCTCCCCAGTACCTGGTTATTACAGGTGTGTGCCACCACACCCAGCTTTTTTTTTTTTTGGCATTTTTAATAGAAATAGGTTTCACCGTGTTGGCCAGGCTGATCTTGAGCTCCTGACCTCAAGTGATCCTCTCACCTCAGCCTCCCAAAGTTCTGGGATTACAGGCATAAGCTGCACCTGGCTGTAAATTCTTTTGTACAATAATGGATGGATCTACTGCTAGAAATGACTTCTTTTTTTTTTTTTTTTTTGGAGACGGAGTTTCGCTCTTGTTACCCAGGCTGGAGTGCAATGGCGCGATCTCGGCTCACCGCAACCTCCGCCTCCTGGGTTCAGGCAATTCTCCTGCCTCAGCCTCCTGAGTAGCTGGGATTACAGGCACGCGCCACCATGCCCAGCTAATTTTTTGTTGTTTTTAGTAGAGACGGGGTTTCACCATGTTGACCAGGATGGTCTCGATCTCTTGACCTCGTGATCCACCCGCCTCGGCCTCCCAAAGTGCTGGGATTACAAGCGTGAGCCACCGCGCCCGGCCTTAGAAATGACTTCTTGAAGCTTGGGATCAATTACTGACTGAACCTGAGGAACTGACTTGGAAATCTGAAAGGGACTGAGGACCCCTGGGTGTGGCTTTCTACTCCAGTTCATTTTACTGCTGTTGCGATTCAGTGACTCTGACCTACTTCAATTGCAGAATCATGGAAATCAAAGAAATTATAGGGTTAACTTATTGTCAGTTCCCACCTATTCATTACAATATGACTTTTAGCGTCACTTTAACAGCTTCTTGATGACTCTCCCCGAAGATACATTGCTCACCTTTAAGGCAGTCTTTCCTTGTTGGACAGTATATAAATTTCCTGTTGCTGCTATAAAAAATTGCCATAATTCGTGGCTTAATCAATGCAGATTTATTATATTATCTTATAGTTCTATAGATTAGACGTCCATCAAAGTGTTTGCAGGGCTGTGTTCCCTTCAGGGAAGGGAACAGTCAATATTCTTGCTTTTTCCAGCATTTACAAGCTGCCTACGTTCTTTGTCTCATGCTTGCCTTCCTCCATCTTTGAAGCCAGCAACATGACGTCTCTCTGACTATTTTTACATAGTCATGTCTTCCTCTTTTCATAGCCGGGAAAGTTTTCTGCTTTTAAGGATGCATATAGTTAGTTTAAGCTCGTCTGGATCTCCCCATCTCAAGGTCTTTAGTCTTAATTACATCTGCAAAATCCTACTTGACATATAAGGTAACACAGTCACAGGTTCTGGGGATTAGGACCTGAGCATCTTTGGGGGCCATTATTCTTTCTACCACAGACAGCTCTTATTATTGGAAAGTTATCTAAGTACTGTCTATTCATCACCCTGCACTCTACTTCTGCAGCAAAAAATGTATATATACTTCAACATTCTAATATTGTCATAACTTGTCTAAACTTACATTTCACTAGGCTAAGCAAGCATAGTATTTTCAATTCTTCAACAAATGACATATTTTGTATAACTTCTCTTAATCCCTGATGTATAGTGTTTATAAGTGTCCCTTTGAAAAATTCTGTGCTAGACGCACACTGATCAGCTCAGATAACCTTAAAACCATTGGATCTTACAATCTAGGCCTTATACGCCATTGTAACCTATTGAAAAACATTTTAGCAGCAATAGAATGCTGTGGATGTGTTTTTAAAATTCCTCAAAAGTAATAATATCTTACACTTCCATTGTTTAAAAATTCATGAAGTACAGTATTAGCCCATTTGATTCTCATCACAGTGCTGTGAGAGGGTAGATGGTATCCTCAGGCTAAATGATGAAACATACAAGGGCTGATGGCTAGTGAATGACAGAGTTTGGGCTAGAAATGCATGTCTTTTGAGTATTGGCTTTCTAGTCAGCAAAGATTCTCTGGCATTTTCTGAAATTATTGCTGTACTTTCCTTTTCTCTCCCTTTCTTTTACCCTTTCTTCTTTACTCACTCATTCCCTTTTATCCTTTCTTTATTCCTCCCTCCCTTTCTTCTTTCCTCCTTTCTACCTATTAATATCCAGTGAACATCCCCAATGCCATCTGTTATGCTGGGTAAAGGAAATAGAGTTGAGAAAAAGGCATTACTTATATCTTTAAGGATTTTACTTGTACATGTCACTTGAATAGTTTTACATTTTGTCTAAATAAATTTTATCATCTTAGCCTTGACACAGTATAAAAGCTAGATGAAAATGTCTTAATTATGTATCAAAATATTACTTTTGAAAACTTTATCACATCTGCAAATGTGCTGTATCAATGAATATATTAAATTATTTCCAAAATTACATTCGTACAAAGAATATACTATTTGAGCACATTCACTGAATACAGAAGAGAATATATTAATGAAGACTATACATATGCATAGCAGAATAAATAATACAAGCTTGAAAACAAAGAACTGACCATTCATTCAATTAGCTATTTGGCAAATTTGCTTTCTTTAAAGGAAGTATTTCCTCATAATCTTATTATATATGTTGAATCTTGAGACATGATTCTCAAGCCATTAAGCCTCAATTTTTAAGTTGTTTAAAAGGTTGTATTTGACCAAAAAAACACCACAAATCCCCACCATGAAGCTATGGCATAAAAATGATAGTTCCGTGACCTACACGTGATTCTAAGTACTTTATACGCATTAGCTCACTTAATTCTCATAATAACTCTCTTAGGTTTGACATTATTGTTGTTATTACTATTGTTGTTATTATTACTGTTCACAGATGAAGGTACTGAGGCTTTTGGGGATAACTTATCCAAAGTCGCACGGATAGTAATAGTGAAACAGGGATACAAAGTCAGGTGGCTGGATTCCAGAGCTTGTGTTCTTAGTCACCGCACTCTTCCTTATTAAGAGATGCTTAGAAGATGCTAAACTCTCACTGTGATGCATTGAAGGGGAAGCACAATGTTAATCTACCACAGCTTTATTTATAAGAAGATAATAATAAAGCATCACTTTGGAAAGGATTTACAGACTTTTCCTACTTTATTTTGTTGCATCTTTGCAGCAGTCCAATGTGGTTTCTCACAGGTCTCTTTATTATCTCCATTTTACAGATGAAGTGACTGAGTTTGAAACATTCGCCAGCCTGCAAGAGTGGTCATAACTATGATTTGGACCTTTTAATTTAGAGATAATGGACTTTTGGTTATGCCTTACTAACTTATAACATGTAAAATCAGAATTTACGCTGGGCGTGGCAGCTCACGCCTGTAATCCTATCACTTTGGGAGGCTGCGGCAGGTGGATAAGTTGAGATCAGGAGTTCGAAACCAGCCTGGCCAACGTGGTGAAACCCCATCTCTACTAAGAATAAAAAAAAAATTAGCTGGCTGTGGTAATGTGTGCCTGTAATCCCAGTAACTCGGGAGGCTGAGGCAGGAGAATTGCTTGAACCTGGGAGGAGGAGGCTGCAGTGAGCCAAGATGGTGCCACTGCACTCCAGCCTGGGTGACAGAGTGAGACTCCATCTCAAAATTAATTAATTAATTGATTAATCCAGAATTTTGTGGAAAGTCAAATTTAATTATTATAAAAAATTATTTTTAATTCATGTCATTTTTTCTGTGAAAAATTCTCAGAAAGAAGTATTTCAGGATAGTTTGGTCTGCATCACAAATGATTCTTGGGCTTTTAATGGAATTAGAAGCAGAAAGTTATTTCAAAGGCAATTAGATTTTCACTGTGAAAGTCATCAGCTTTTCTAAAACCAATAATTTGCTGATTGCTAAATCTTGGTAATTATATCCTTGCTGCATTGTTGGAGATGGAAATGGAGACACTTTTGTCAGTGTAATCTTGATATTTTTCCATTGCTGTGGAGATATCACTTTATATTTGTACCTTGACTTTCATTTTTAGGTAATTCCAAAGTTACATCATAACTTCCATGTTAGAAGAAATTTCATATATTAGTGGTAGAATTTTCTACCAGTTATTTAAAAATCTAATAATTAGAAAAGACTTTTTTTCTTGTTATTAAAAGGAGCAAAATGACAATTAAGGAGCTAGTGTCTATGATGGTTTTAAAAAGAAAATCACTGAGCAGTTGAAGGCCAATTCAAATTCCTATACAAAGTACCTATTGCAACATTTCAGAAATAATTGATGTGCATTAAGATGTTCCAGAGGTTATGAAAGATTTGAAATATTTCCCATGTCATCCAAAGAAATTTCACGACAATCAAGATAATTGTGTCCATTTCTATAAAAGCCATTTGAGGACATTGATTATATCACCCATTTATTCACAATTTTGATATCCAGCAGACTGATTTTTTAAAGGCTCTTATAATTCTTAATCACCCTTTAACTATCTAAATGCTTTGCTAATATTTCTTTTGCATAAGCCTTCTCCTAAATGCTTTAATAAAGCCATATTGTATATAGTTTCTATGCAGACAAATCGATGGAAAGCTGAAACATTACTGAGCTAATCAATCATATGACAATCTATAATGATCATATATACATTTATTCTAACTTCCAAACTTCCATTTCTATCTAAATAGAAATTACTTCTGTTTTTTTGTTATTCAGATTATTAAGCAATACAATCTATCTGTAGAGAGACTGTGATCGTGCTCAATAGAAAATTTGCAGAATTGTAATTTCTACATATCCCAGTATGTAGCCTGTGTGTAATATGAGGAACCAGCTATTTCTTTCTTGGGCCCATAAGACAAAGTAGAAGTTTGTTTGCATTTTACATATTGGAGAAACAACAATGGAAAAAGGATAATGAGAAAGACATTTATGAACTTTTTTCCCCACTGTTCTGATAACTCTTCCCAGTTCTTTACCAGAAACCTCCACCATTTTTTAACCACTTTTGTCTCGTCAGTGCTCCCTCAATTTCTTTCATTCTCTGCCAACTCTGGTCCTTCTAAGGGGTGATTATATACCTGTTGCAGCATCTTCCCTTCAGGTCACTTTGCTTTCTAATTCATAGATTTGAGGAAACATTTCAGTTTTCTTTGGTAATTTCTAGCTTTCCTCTTTTAAACATCCAAAAATGTGAAACATGTAATTTGATGCTCTATGTAACATTTTAGGAATGAAATATATATGAAAATAATTTGTAGTGATGTCATCAACAACAAAAAAAGGCAATTAATGTGATTTCTTAAATTATTCTCTAAATATCTTAATCACTTAGTGGATGAAAACTTTCTCCCTAGAACAACTGTCATCAAGTAAGTGTTAGTCATGCTATTCTTATACATAATAATAAAAGTAGCTAACATTTATCCAATGTCAGTTACATATCCAGTACCATACTAAGCACTTTATATATATTACCTCATTTAACTTTGAGAATATTCCCATTAAGTAAGTCCTGATGTGATCCAATTAACATTTCATTTTTTATTTTATTTTTGAGATGGTCTCATTCTGTCGCCAGACTGGTGCGCGGTCTCAGTTCACTGCAACCTCCGCTCCTGGGTTCAGGGGATTCTGTCTCAACCTCCAGAGTAGCTGGGATTACAGGTGCATGCCACCACACCTGGCTAATTTTTGTGTTTTTAGTAGAGACAGGGCTTCACCATGTTGGCCAGGCTGATCTCAAACTCCTGACCTCAGGTGATCTGGCTGCCTTGGCCTCCCAAAGTGCTGGGATTACAGGCATAAGCCGCCATGCCCGGCCCAATTAACATTTTTTAGACCTATTTTTATTATCTAGAATTCAACTACAATTATCTTTTCATTCTTTCTTTTGCTCTATTATTATAGGTTGCTGAGTAATATGGTTTTTGAACTTTCAGATTCTATAAAAATTCAAAACATTTGGAATATTATTTACTTTTAAAATAATTATACAAAGTCTGTTTTTCTTTTCACCTGCAGGTACTTCTAACTTTATTTCATTGTCTGTTTGTTTTTCTCCTGCCTCTTTTTAATTTTAATTTTAATTTTAGGTTGAGAGGTACATGCGCAGATTTGTTATATAAATTGTGGTTTTTTATGGGGGTTTGGTGTACAGATTATTTTGTCACCCAGGTAATAAGCATGGTACCTGACAGGTAGTTTGTCTTTATCCCTTTTTTTAAATAAATTAGATTTAGGGAATAATTTGCCCTTAATTATTTGTATTACTACTTTCTAGAGGAATTGAGTTATGTAAAAAGTATAGAAAACGTCCATCTTTCCCCCATTTTACTGACTGCAGGATGATCCATTCTCAGCCCTGGACATTCACTTAAGTGATCACTTAATGCAGGAGGGGATTTTGAAATTCCTGCAAGATGACAAAAGGACACTCGTTCTTGTGACTCACAAATTACAGTATCTGACGCATGCTGACTGGGTAAGAGTTTAGAAAAGAATTTTGTTCATTTTTGTATTATAGTCATATAAATAAATAGAGACAGTGAGAAATGCTTTCTGAAATGAAGGTATTTCATTTGGCCAGTCAAGGCTTTTTGTCAAATTTCTGGGAATATCTGCTTTCCTTAGATCATAGCCATGAAAGATGGAAGTGTCCTAAGAGAAGGAACTTTGAAGGATATTCAGACCAAAGATGTTGAGCTTTATGAACACTGGAAAACACTTATGAATCGGCAAGATCAAGAATTAGAAAAGGTAAGTGCTCATAGTTCAATAGAGTTCCGAGTCCAATTCAGAAGAGATAGAAATGTACTAAGAATTACTAAGAATGCCTTTAAAAAAAAATTACCATTTAATGCTTAGTAATATAATGGTCTTTATCTGAAATCCAAAGCAATTGGATCTTTACCTATTATTAATGAACAGGCTACTTTGAACCTGTAAAATTCTAATGCTATCTTTCGATGAGGTGCTGTCAGGTTTTTAGAGGCTGTTTGAATCTGAACCATAGTGCAATTATATGTGTGTTTAAAACTTAGACTACATACTAAAGCATGGCACTTCCTTATTTTTTCTTACTTATACCTCATTTTTCTCGTCTATAAAATTAGAACATTTTCACTAATCACCTACAAATAGAGGTTCATGGGAACGTCAAAAGCCAAGGTAATTTTGAAGGAAGAGCTCTGTGGGGGGGTGGGCAAAGTTGTAAGGCATGTCAGGGATAAGGCTGCTGGGGTGAAAGAAGGTAATCAGAAGGAGATAAAAGTAAAATTTTACATTTGTGTAGGTTTTTTTAAGTCCACAAGGCCCTTTTTACATATCTATTTTAATTCTCACAAACTCCTGACAAATAGGCAAATAAAATCTTACTTAGACAGATGGGAAAGCTAAGGCTCAGAGAGGTTAAATAACTTACCTGAAGTTGTACAGCATATATAATAAGTGGTACCAAATGGGCTGTAAACACAGGTGCATCTCCAGTGTAATTATACTATAATGCTATGGATGATGTAAGTATAACATTGAATGAGGTAATAACAGAGTTGGATACCAGATTGAGTACAACAAAAGAGGAACAACTTTTGATCAACAAGTGAAACTGTAAATTAAATTTGCAAATTTTTGAAATGTTTCATTCTTGAGTTGGGAGTACAAAGTGTCCAGCATTGGTATGCTTAGCCAGGAATGAGCATTTACAAAATAAAATATTCATACCAGTTAATTTCTTTAAAATATCAGGAAATTTAAATATATCATTTTAGAAAAGAAAATAAAGGATCAGTCTCCATAGCAAGAGGAAGATACAAAGCCAGAGAACTCCTAGGATGTCTCTACCTTCTTTGAATTTGCTAAAGATCTCAAAAGCAAACCACACAAAGAAGAAAAGATAGATGCAAAAATATACAAGCAGAACAGGACAAATCACAGAACCATTGAAATGAGGATATTTGACACACACACACACACACAAAATGCAATAAGTAAACAAAAAACTCCAAAACATTAGGAGGTAGAGTCGACAAGTGCCTGCTTAGGAATTGTGCTGTGGGAAGCTTGATTCTAAACGGACTGGGGATGGCTCCAAATGACATTTTTTTCAGTGATCTAAATGCCAGGGACAAAAGAAGATGACGTAAACTTAAGGAGTGGGACAATTTATGGTTTACTTTGGAAAGAAGAGCTGGAAAATAAAGAGAGCTGTTGGCTCAATATTATGGTAATACTGTTAAGCAAGCCAGGAAGAAAGTCCATTAAGTTGTATTTAGAAATGAAGTGATCACTTGAGATAGCATAGCTGTATAATTAAAGACACATTACAGGGTTATGTATGAACTGAAGGAAGTGTGGAGCAAGTTAGGGTATGGATGGGGTAAATCCAGTTACAAGGTAGAATGGCAGTCGCTAGAAGCCAGAATGAATCACGCACCTGCCCAGAATCCTTATCTCCGGATGAAGGGAGATTACTGCCACATAGCAAAAGGCAGGCACCTGAATTCATCTACAGCCAGAGAGAATCACACTGTGAACAAGACCACTACAATACCTTGGGGAAGTTTTTGTACAAACAGCTTTGTGTTTAGTTTGTTACATGACAGGACAGGGTGTTTCCTATCAACCTGGGCCAATTTTGTCTCCTAGAGGACATTTGGCAACATCTGGAGACATTTTCGATTGTTACAACGGGGCGGGGGGATGCCATTAGCATCTAGTGTGCTCAACATTCTGCAGTGCTCAGGGCAGACCCCACAGCAATGAGTTGTCCAGCTCACATGTCATTGTGTCAAGGCTGAGAAAGTCAGGCCTAGAGCCAGAACAGATCAAGCAAGTGGAGAAGGAAGGTGAAACCGAAGGAGGCACAAAACTTCCTAGTGGAGTGCTTTAAAAACAGCTGTCAGTTTAAGGATTAAGGGGTAAACAGGAAAGAATATGAAAAAAAAAAAAAGTAATGAAAACTACAAAGAAGAAGGAGATAGCACTTTTAGCTGATTTAAATATTATTAGCTTAAATGACATGAACCATTATCTTCTTAATGCTGCTAAGCAGAATAAACTGGTATTATTTAACACTCTTCACTTCCCTCTCTACTGTCCTCACCTGGCCTGGCCCAGTGACTATTTATTGGATAAATGAAAGTAAATTTTTATTAGTCCAAGTATCAACACTACTTAAAACATTTAACCTATTTTGAATTCAGTGTGAGCATATACTCTTAGGAAAAATTGCTTTAAAGTTCGTTTGGGTTTTGTTTATTTGTTTGTTTAAGTCTCCAAGGTCTTAAACCTTTTGGTCGCAGCATGGGGAATTGAACTGGAATCAAATCTGCTTTTCAATGTGCAGGTTTATTTTATTCCATTATATGATATGCACAAGACAGGAATCCTCTATAATATTGTGTTTAATTTAGCTTCATTATAAAGGTTAGTTTTCATATCTTTCTCCAGAATTTAAAACTGGGGTCAAACTGTCTCTGTAAAAATGGGATTCAGGAGACATTTTTGTTTTCACTCTTTTAACCAAGAATCGGAAGTAGTAGAGCCCTCTAGAATAGCAAGTTTCCTAAATTAGACATGTTGTATGAGGCCAAAAAATCAACCAAAGTCATTACCTAGGGAATGATCAGAAAAGGTTTATTGGTTTATTGATGTAACAGTAAAACTGTGTAGGGTTTTTGTTGTTGTTGTTGTTTTTGTTTTTTTGTTTTTTGTTTTTTTTTTTTGTATTGGCCTATGCAGGAAGCTTCCAATTTACCGCAGATTCCAAAAGTTTGTGGGTTAGTTGTTTAGAATTCAGAATGCATTTCCCCACAGAAAAATGGAAATGGTTGGTTTTCCAGAATGGCCTGTAGAACCTGATTTAATCCACAATGTAACTGAACTGATACTACTACTCCTGTCCTGAGGTCAGGGGAGCTGGGGTATTAGCTGGGGTATGGAAGGGTATTTCTCCAGGGCATGGAGAAAATGAAATGATTCTCCCTTTCTTAACTACAGGATAAAGTTCACAGCAATTCTTAAAAATCTGCAAAGTTTTTGGTTTTTGGCACCTTTCCCTTCTCCTTCTGTATATTCTCTCCTCCTGGGGCTTTCTCTTGCACTGCTAGGCACCTAAAAATCCTCATTGTCTATTTTCTTTAAAGTTACCTACCTTCTTTCAGATCCTATTGAATTCCCTTCTTTCATGTAGCTCCCTTAGTGAGATGCTAAAGAAAGTGTTCTGATTTAATAATTCAAAATAGTGGATGACTGACAGCAGTTTAACCAACTTGGAACCATGTGGTCTTTTGAAGGAAGATATGTACTAACATGAATGAATCTTTAATTAGAAAAATTACAAGGATAGTCTGAAGGTGATGTATAAATAAGTTGCAGTGGTGGAACTGTGCTTTAGGGCTCAGGGAGATAGATATCCCCCTGACCCTGGAGTCAGCTGCATCTCACTTGCTTTTCCTGGCCTTGTGTGCTGCCCTACACCTTTGAGCACTGCAGCACTTCCTACAAGTCTAAGGCTCTGCCCCCACAGCTGCTTCTGTGATAGGAGTTGTGGATCTCCAAAGTGAACACAGAGCCCCTGAGATTGGTAAAGGTAACTAACCATTTACACATGCAAGTCATTCATTGATAAGTCACAACCTGTTGGTGTTAGTTCCTTGTGTGATAGTATAATGTTTATTGTAGGATATGGAAGCTGACCAAACTACTTTAGAGAGGAAAACTCTCCGAAGGGCCATGTATTCAAGAGAGGCCAAAGCCCAAATGGAGGACGAAGACGAAGGTAGATCTCTTTTCTTATTTATTTATTTATTTAACTTTAGGTACATACTATATCTGGCATTTCTCCCCATGTTATCCCTCCTCACCCGCCCCTTCCTTCCCACCTCCCACTGTCCCTCCCCTACCCCCCCAACTGCCCCCAGTGTGTGATGCTCCTCTCCCTGAGTCCACGTGTTCTCATTGTTCAGCACTCACCTATGTGTGAGAACATGCAGTGTTTGATTTTCTGCTCTTGTGTCAGTTTGCTGAGAATGATGGTTTCCAGATTCATCCAAGTCCCTATAAAGAACAGGAACTCATCATTTTTTATGGCTGCATAGTATTCCATGGTGTATATGTATCACATTCTTTGTCCAGTCTATCATTGATGGGCATTTGGGTTGGTTCCAGTTCTTTGCTATAGTACACAGCACCGCAGTGAACATAGTGTGCATGTGTCTTTACAGTAGAATGATTTATAGTTCTTTGGGTATATATCCAGTAATGGGATTGCTGGGTCAATCTCTTTTATCTGGAACATTCTACTGGGGTAACAGGTTATGAGGGTTTTTTACGTGTGAGTGTCTTCATGAACAATAATAAGCCACTTTGCAAGGGGAAAAAGTTAAATCAAATACTAAAAATGAAAACAATAGGAATCAAGAAAAAGCACATGTAACCTATCACCAGTCATCTTGAGGGCTCTGCATCATGTGTGTTACTACAGTTGTTATGTGTGGGAAAGAACTGAAAGGAAATGGCAGTGGATTGTAAATAGATCTAGACTTTTGTTCAGAAAAATTGAAATGGTCTGGATCATGACCAAATCTAGTGAAGAAAATTTCAATTCTTCAGAAATAAGTAACAAAAGGGAGATATGGCATTTTGAAATAGCTATATTTGAGTCATTTATTTCATCTTCATGAGGTTTCATGACAATATCGCCATGAAGGATAAGAAAATTAGAACGCCGTTTGTTATGTTTCAGTTTTCTGAATCTGATAAGGTATATGGGGAAATAAGATTGACTGGAAATGTGAGGAATGAAATGGAATCATTACAGTGCTTTGATATTCATTGCCAAGAATGTTGTGAGATAAACCACATTTTAAATCAGTAGTGTAAGTGCATTATGCTTCATTTTCCTTTGTAATTTTTGCCTATGCCTGCATTTCTACCAACTAAAGAAACAGAAAAGTGTTTTTTTCAAGCCAAATAGCACCAAAATGTTCTGCTTTTATATTTCTGACAAAACTATTCAGTGTTTCAACAAATATTCATTGAGTAAATGAATTAATGAATGAAGGGTAAATTTTACTCTCAATTTCTATGATTAAAAATGTTTCTAAAGAATTTTTGGTGCTATAAACAGACATCAGCTTCTAGAATTCTAAACAATTTATTTTTAATATGCTATAAGAATGAACTTGTACCCAATTACTCTGTTCAGCATTTCAGTGGGGATACTGTGTCATTGGCGTGCCATATTAATCGATCTTCTCAGTTATAAAATAAGAGCGCTTTGCTTACAGGGTAAATGAAGTAATGTATGTGAAAGAGCCAATTGCGGTACATATTACTTATTAGTTTGTTGCTCCAGGTCTTAGTAAAATACTCAAGCCACCAGTAGGGGAAGAAAAGGAGGAGAGGGCACTTCCATTCGCTTAAGAGACTTGGAGTTGCATGTATTGTTTCTACTTCCTATTGGCTCGGTCATTGCTTAGAAAGATTAGGTACTAGGAGAGTGAGGTGATGCTGTCTAGCTGGGCAGCCATGGGCTACCTTAAATTTCAATTGATATAGAAGCAAAGGATGGGTATTGAGAAGTCAGCTAGCAGTGTGCAAGTGTCCACCTCTTTGGTCGTGCAAATTTCTATTCTGCTCTTCTCACACAAGAGACACACCCCTGCCAAAGGAGAGATCATCTGTGACCTAGTCAGTTACTGCATCCAGCTCAGATGTCAGGATTTTTGGTGATGCTCTGTCTTCTCATCACATTTGGATCCCCGTGGTCTAATAACCTAAAAAGTAAAAACAACCTTCCTCCCCACAACCTGATATGTATATAGTAGTGAGGTACATACAGGATAACTTTAATGAGTAAAGTTCCTTTGGAAAAGGAAAGGATGGGAAAACACAGTCACTGGACCATAGAAATGATCAAACTGTGATTGTCAGGAAATGCAAAACCTGATTTAGCAGCGGAGTCATTCATAAGGAAGACCATCTTGGAGTTTCTAGATGGTTTAAACATCCGAGATGAATTCCTGGCCCATTATCCTTTGTGTCTCCTGACTTTGCCCACTGTAAGGTTCCTCCTTGCCCATTCCCCTCCATGAGCATATCTACAGTGGGCCATAGAGAGAATGGAGTATGCCCTCTTGTGCTGTGCACAGATTTCAGAGCCTATTCCCTCCTGGTGCAGCTTTATCCATTCAGAAATTTACAGGTCGAAATATTGTAGATGTTTGTAAGCCAGGTATGTGGTTTTTGTTGGCAACACAATTCCTTCAATAACTTAGTAAGTTTCTGGTCTATACTTCCAGTCAATTTGATGTGCAGTAAATCAGCAAATCATCTCATCTAGACATAGATTTTATGTTTAGTTGATCACTTATTCATTCATTCATTCATTTTTCACCTATTTTCAGAAAGAAATGAAGTTTGCCCTGTTTAAAGCATTTAAAACTTCAATACTAATGCTTACTTCTTTTATAAATTTATGAATATTTATATACTATTTGTGTAGAAGTTGTATCTAGCTGGTGCCCATCTGAAGCTTAAAGAAGTTTTTTTATGTAGAGGAAGAAGAGGAGGAAGATGAGGATGATAACATGTCCACGGTAATGAGGCTCAGGACTAAAATGCCATGGAAAACCTGCTGGCGGTACCTCACTTCTGGAGGATTCTTCCTGCTCATCCTGATGATTTTCTCTAAGCTTCTGAAACATTCAGTCATTGTAGCTATAGACTATTGGCTGGCCACGTGGACATCAGAGTACAATAGAAACAGTACTGGAAAAGCTGATCAGGTACTATTGGTTCGGTTTTGTTTTTAAATCATCAAGGAAATATTGAGATTAACAGTGATACCTTCTTATCAAGTTAGATGCTTATATTCCAAATGCCGTAGGACTTCTGTGATAATTCAGTAAGTTAATAATTACAACAGGACCTGAAATAAAGTATCAAAAATGTTAAAATAGAATCTTATTATTAATACTTTTAAAGTTTATCATAAGAAGTATTTAAATATGTTTAGACTTGTATTCAAGGGAGTTATGTATATATATTTTTATACATGTTATACATATATACACATATATAGGACCTTTTTGTATTTATTCTTATGGTATTTGGTGTTATCTACCTACATCAGTGTATTAGCTGGTCATTCTGAGACTAGGAGTGAGAAAAGTGAGCTCTACAATGTAGAAAGCCAAGAATATGCCTCAAACATGAAAACAAACTCTCTCTCTCTTAATTTGCTTTTAAGCAAGGCTTGAAAGAGAGTTAAGGGAGCAGGTGGAGGCTTGGCCTGTGGGATTATGGTGGGGATACTACCCTGGGTCTCAACAAATTGCATTCCTGAACTGTCTAAATGCATGTACAATAACGAAGTCAACCATCTTATCTGACGTTGACATTTGATTTTCTAGTAAAAAAGAACTAAATTGATCATTTCCTATGTGCTTTTTGTGTTGGTTGCTTTTTAGACCTACTATGTGGCTGGTTTTAGCATACTTTGTGGAGCAGGCATTTTCCTTTGTCTTGTTACATCCCTTACTGTAGAATGGATGGGTCTCACAGCTGCCAAAAATCTTCACCACAACCTTCTCAATAAGATAATTCTTGGACCAATAAGGTAAAACAGTGGTTATTTCTCACTCTCACACATAAAATAATAAAAACATGCATTTTTCAATTTAAGTGAAATGTAAAAGTTCAAAGAATTTCTTTAGTCCTTGAGCACATATGAATAGGGAGCTTCTCATTTTCATGACACTGAGATGCCCGTTAGCAATGCCCAGGTTCCAAATAGTTTAGTATTGTCATACACTTCCATCTGTTTATTGCCTAGGTTCTTTGATACCACGCCCCTGGGACTGATTCTCAATCGCTTTTCAGCTGATACTAATATCATTGATCAGGTGAGTAGTAACTGGGTTACTTCCAAGTTCAAAAAGTAGTTTTGCAATGTAAGCTAAATAGCATTTTAAGATAAAGCATAATGCCTCTTAACAATAGAGAATTGCTGAAATTTAAATGAAGGTCTTTTTGTATTTATATCAATATTATACATGCAAATAATATCTAGAATGAAATATTAAAGGAAAACCTTCACTCAGACTAATTTGTATATGTAGAAGAAGATACTTGGAGAACCAGCATGAAGTAAAGAGAAATACTAAAGCATAATTGAACATTTAAAATTTTTTATTATAAAAATTTTTGATTAATAATATATCAGCATTCCCAGTATAAAGTTCTTAGAAGTTTAGTGTGCATGCAGAATTTCTCTCAGAAGTGAAGGGAGGGATTCCAAGCTGTCTAAAAGTCCTTTACTTTTATTAAGTTGGTTCTTGAAGCTTCAAATGGTATGATATTTTAGGAAATATTCCAAGAATGTCCACTTTAGCCTAAGGTCCTTAGGTATCTGAAAGTTTGTCTTGAAATCAAAGATATCAAACTCTGAAATTATATCACTCCAAAAGTGGAACTCTTTGGATGATTGAGAAAGGAATTCATCAAATCCAGGCCCTTGCCTTTTCTGACTTTCCAGGGTGGCATTAGGAACACCAAAACGGCCCTCAATTTAGAAAGAGTGCTTGCTGATGCATGCAGCTGACTGAAGAGTATGTTGAGAAGTTTTGATGTTTTCATGACCTTGGTCAGACTGCACCTAAAACCCTTCTAAGGAATACACATTGAAAAAGAAGAAATGAAACAGTCATTATTTAGAAGATGACATGATTATTACTTAGAGTATTCAAAATAGTAAAATAGAGAATCAATTAGAAAGTTCAGCAGATATCTACGTAAGATATATCATATGAAAAGCAGCAACTTCTTCTACACCAACTTAAGAAAATAGTGAAAAACAAACTCCATTCATAACAACAAAACCATAAAAACAGAAATAAATGTGAAGAAAAGATGTTCAGCAATCCCAGAAGTCATAACAATCCTGTATATATAGAGAAAGAATTTCCCTATTAGATATTTTTTAAATATCACAAAATTTAAAAACTCTTTTGATTGCAGAAGGCAAGTAGGTCAAAAGAACAGTATGGAGAATTAAAAAACACCAGCATATGTAGAAATGTAACAGTGTAACTGTGGCATCTTAATAAGGAAACAATTTTTCAACAAATGATATTGGGATAATTAGCTATTTAAAAATACAAAACAAACGCATATAGCGTAGAGGTGGTCATGTTAAAACATTTTATAAAGTAAAATGTAGGAGAATAGCTTTAGAATCTTGGAATGGGAAAGGTCTTTCTGAGTAAGACAAATAACTCAGAAGCAATAAGGAAAATAGGTTACTTTTGAGCTGACAAGTCAACAGAAATGCCTATAAAAAACTTTAAGTTGTTATTGAGCTAAAAGCACCAAAGAGAAATTTAAATACAATAGATAACTAGGGAAAAAAAGTTGCAAATAATTTTTTAAAATAAATGTAATATATACAGAGCATCTAAAAATCAATAAGGAAAAAATAAACCACTCAAAGCCCAAAGGATATGAGGAAGTAATTACAGATAATTAATTTAAATGTATTACAGTAGAGGAATTGCTAAATAAGCTAATACTATGGAAACATTAAAACAAAATAAATGAAAGAGCTAGAGGAGCAAGATCAAAAAAACTCAAAGGCTAGCAGAAGACAAGAAATAACTAAGATCAGAGCAGAACTGAAGGAGATAGAGACACAAAAAACCCTTCAAAAAAATCAATAAATCCAAGAGCTGGTTTTTTGAAAAGATCAACAAAATAGACCACTAGCCAGATTAATAAAAAAGAAAAGAGAGAATAATCAAATAGATGCAATAAAAAACAATAAAGGGGATATCACCACCGATTCCACAGAAATACAAACTACCATCAGAGATTACTACAAATTACTCTATGCACATAAACCAATAAACCTGGAAGAAATGGAGAAATTCCACTTTCACCCTCCCAAGCCCAAACCAGGAAGAAGTCAAAACCCTGAATAGACCAATAAAAAGGGCTGAAGTTGAGGCAGCATTAATAGCCTACAAACCAAAAAAAGTCCAGGTCCAGATGGGGTCACAGCTGTATATCTACCAGACATACAAAGAGGGACTGGTACCACTCCTTCTCAAACTATTCCAAACAATACAAAAAGAGGGAATCCTTCCCAAGTCATTTTATGAGACCAACATCATCCTGATACCAAAACCTGGCAGAGACTCAACAAGAAAAGAAAACTTCAGGCCAATATCCATGATGAACATAGATGCAAAAATCTTTAATAAAATACTGGCAAACTGAATGCAATACCACATCAAAAAGCTTATCCAGCACGATCAAGTAGGCTTCAACCCAGGGATGCAAGGCTGGTTCAACATAGGCAAGTCTATAAATGTAATTCACCACATAAACAGAACCAAAGACAAAACCCACATGATTATCTCAATAGATGCAGAGAAGGCCTGCAACAAAATTCAACAGCCTTTTATGCTAAAAACTCTCAATAAACTAGGTATTGTTGAAACATATCTCAAAATAATACAAGCTATTTATGACAAACCCACAGCCAATATCATACTGAATGGGCAAAAACTGGAAGCATTCCCTTTGAAATCTGGCACTAGACAAAGACGCCCTCTCTCACCACTCCTATTCAGTATAGTTTTGGAAGTTCTAGCCAGAGTAATCAGGCAAGAAAAAGAAATAAGGGGTATTCAATTAGGAAAGAAGGAAGTCAAATTGTCTCTATTTGCAAATGACATGATTGTATATTTACAGGACCCCACCATCACAGCCCAAAATCTTCTCAAACTGATAAGCAACTTCAGCAAAGTCTCAGAATACAAAATCAATGTGCAAAAATTACAAACATTCCTATATACCAATAACAGACTTAAAGACAGCCAATTCAATAACAAACTGCCATTCACAATTGCTACAAAGCGAATAAAATACCTAGGAATACAACTAACAAAGGATGTAAAGGACCTCTTCAAGGAGAACTACAAACCACTGCTCAAGGAAATAAGAGGGGACACAAACAGATGGAAAAACATTCCATGCTCATGGTTAGGGAGAATCAATATTGTGAAAATGGCCATACTACCCAAAGTAATTTATAGATTCAATGCTATCCCCATCAAGCTACCTATGACCCTCTTCACAGAACTGGAAAAAACCACCTTAAACTCCATATGGAACCAAAAGAGAGCCTGCATAGCCACGACAATCCTAAGCAAAAAGAACAAAGCTGGAGGCATCACACTACCTGATTTCAAACTATACTATAAGACTACAGTAATCAAAACAACATGGTACTGGTGCCAAAACAGAGATATAGACCAAAGGAACAGAACAGAGGCCTCAGAGGCAATGCCACACATCTACAACCATCTGATCTTTGACAAACCTCACAAAAAAAGCAAAGGGAAAGGATTCCCTGTTTAATAAATAGTGTTGGGAAAACGGGCTAGCCATATGCAGAAAGCAGAAACTGGACCCTTCCTGACACCTTACACTAAAATTAACTTCAGATGGATTAAAGACTTAAACATAAGACCTAACACCATAAAAACCCTAGAAGAAAACCTAGGCAAAACCATTCAGGATATAGGCATAGGCAAGGACTTAGACTAAAACACCAAAATCAATGGCAACAAAAGCCAAAATAGACAAATGGGATCTAATTAAACTCCAGGGCTTCTGCACAGCAAAAGAAACAATCGTTAGAGTGAAGCTGCAACCAACAGAATGGGAAAAAATTTTTACAGTCTACCCATCTGACAAAGGGCTAATATCCAGAATTTACAAAGAACTAAAACAGATTTACAAGAAACAAACAAACAAGCCCATTCAAAAGTGGGTGAAGGATATGAACAGACACTTTTCAAAAGAAGACATACATGAGGCCAACAAACATATGGAAAAAATGCTCATCATCACTGGTCATTAGAGAAATGCAAATCAAAACCACATTGAGATACCACCTCACACCAGTTAGAATGGCGATCATTAAAAAATCTGGAGACAACAGATGCTGGAGAGGATGTGGAGAAATAGGAACACTTTTACATGGTTGGTGGGAGTATAAACTAGTTCAACCATTGTGAAAGACAGTGTGGCAATTCCTCAAGCACCTAGAAATAGAAATTCCATTTGACCCATCAATCCCATTACTGGGTATATGTCCGAAGGATTATAAATTGTTCTGTTATAAAGACACATGGACACGTATGTTCATTGTGGCACTGTTTACAATAGCAAAGACCTGGAACCAACTCAAATGCCCATAGATGATAGACTGGACAAGGAAAATGTGGCACATATACACCATGGAATACTATGCAGCCATAAAAAACAATGAGTTCGTGTCCTTTGTAGGGTCATGAATGAATCTGGAAACCATCATTCTCAGCAAACTGACACAAGAACAGAAAATCAAACACCACATGTTCTCACTCATAGGCAGGTGTTGAACAATGAGAACACATGGACACAGGGAGGGGAGCATCACACAGTGGGGTCTGTTGAGGGGTACTCGGGGAGGATACAGCAGGGAGTAGGGAGTTGGGGAGGGATAACATGGGGAGAAATGCCAGATATAGGTGACAGGGAAGGCAGCAAACCACATTGCCATGTATGTACCTATGCAACAATCCTGCATGTTTTGCACATGTACCACAGAACCTAAAGTGCAATAAAATTTATATATATATATATAAAAGAAAAAATTTTAACTGTTTAAAGTCTCCTTAAAAACAAGAAATAGATTTGTATACACTGCTATAGGAAGATTTACATCTGTCTTGTTCAGTAGAACAAACACATGAATGAATAATATTTATAGTACAGTGTCATTTACATAAAACGCCCAAGATAAATAGGTAGATAGGTAGACATATCAATGATATTTTGTTATACATATAGACAGACATACTAAGCTATGGGAATTGAGTGAAGAATTGCTTAGGATGAGCATGGTTATATACTACTTTTGTAGCTAACTGTATAACATAGTATCAATATAAAATAGATATTTTTGTTACATTGTAACCAATATTTCATTGGGCTAATCATATTTCCCTTTCAAACTACCCTAATAGCACATCCCTCCAACCTTGGAATCTCTAACTCGCTCAACACTGCTCTGCCTGTCTGCCATTGGGATGATTTCTCATGCTACTCCTGTGTTCCTGGTTGCTCTCCTGCCCCTTGGTGTCGCCTTTTATTTTATCCAGAAATACTTCCGAGTTGCCTCTAAGTAAGTAAAACAGCATCCTGCTCATTTTCAAAAGCTTACATACAGTCAGCCCTCTCTATTCATGGGTTCTGCCAACAACGGATCAAAAATATTTGGAAAGAAAACATTCCACGAAGTTCCAAAAAGCAAAACTTGAATTTGTCACATGCCGAGTACTACAGAAAAAACACTGATGAAGCGATGTGTAATGTGTTGCCATTGAATTAGGTACAATAGGTAACATAGAAATGATTTAAAGTATATTGGATGATGTAAGTAGGTTATATGCAAATGCCGCCCATTTTATACAAGGGACTTGAGCATCTGCAGATTCTGGTATCCATGGGAAATCCTGGAATCAGTACCCCATGGGGACAATTGTATTTGATTTACCTTGATCTACATTTGCTCTAATGTTTTTCAAGATAAGGTGTGGAATGTAGAAATGCAACCTATTTGTAACATGATAAAATCTATCCTGACATTATGATTCATTTAGATATCAATGAATATAATTATATCTAAAAGTGGTTGTCTGGGCATTACCTAACCCTAGACATATAGTAACATGTGGATTGATCTATTGAGTTTTGGGTTTTAAGAGTGCCAAATTTTTCATCCAGTGGTCCTTTTTCTGAACATGACATTGATAGAAAACTTAGAAAATCAAACATAATCCCAAAGAGTAAGTGATTTAATATTATTATACTCTACAAATGGGAAAAAATTATTCATTTAGGATTTGCCATTTGCTGAGATGTTGATTAAATGAAATATAATACCAGTTGTTTTAAAATTTCCAGTTTAACTTTGAAACCCTGCTATAAATAGTACAGTAAAGTTTATGTTATTTCAACAAATACTAAGCACTCTGTGTGTGGCAAATAACTGTGTTAAGCCACGTGACAGATGAGGAGATCAATATGACAAGGACCTGTTCTCAAGAAATGTATATCTCTTAGGAATGTATATATATAAAACATATACAAAGTAATCTTAACATGTGGATTAAGTACTAGAATAAGAAGGCAGGTATTGAGTTTATTCAGGAAATTGAAAATATTAACATGACTTGAGTGCAGGGAAGATGAAAGAAAGTAGGAGAAGAAAAGAAAAGAATTGTAGTTGGGAACCTCTGAATATATCATATTAATATTTCATAATTTGAAGAAATAGTTGTTTCTCCCTCTGAGCTACGAATTAGAGTCCTTTAAATGTCAGGGATCCATATTTAGTCTGTTTTTTCATCCCTAGACTCATCCTCTTTGTTTGCAGCAAATTCTGACCAAAGGGAGAAGCTAGGAATCAAATTCACATATCATTTCTTCTGATACTATTTGCTGACCTACTCGCTGGAGGAGCAAAGAAGTTCAGAGTTATTTCACTACTGCTAACTGTTTCCAAATGTGCCCTTGCCTTTTTTTTTTTTTTTTTTTTTGAGACAGAGTTTCGCTCTTGTTACCCAGGCTGGAGTGCAATGGCACGATCTCGGCTCACCGCAACCTCCGCCTCCTGGGTTCAGGCAATTCTCCTGCCTCAGCCTCCTGAGTAGCTGGGATTACAGGCACGCGCCACCATGCCCAGCTAATTTTTTGTATTTTTAGTAGAGACGGGGTTTCACCATGTTGACCAGGATGGTCTCGATCTGTTGACCTTGTGATCCACCCGCCTCGGCCTCCCAAAGTGCTGGGATTACAGGCGTGAGCCACCGCGCCCAGCCCTTGCCCTTGCCTTCTTAACACTGACATCAGTCATATCTTACTTCAATCACATACTCATTTGGGCCCATTATTGCCCGTTAGCAATACAAAGGAGTGCAAAGTTTAGGAAAATATTTCTAGTCCAGTACAAATTTGAATTGTGAATTCTGCTCATCATCAGTGAGAATAATCTGTTAGAGACTAAAGTATGGAGAGGATGATTATTTTAAAGAATATTGACAATGGATTATACACTATTGTTTTTGAAATTATCTGAAAGTTAGCAAATATAACCATGTGATACTAAACCTCACAGACAAGGATCCTTCTGGATGTTGAGGTTCTTTAGAACTCACTCATGTTGAAAAGCTCAGGCAGCTTAACATACTATTTTTGTATATACTAAGAGAACTGAAGTGGAAACTAGCTACAGGAAATGCTTTGAAAACTTGAATATTTAAAATCAAGGATCTAATGCATGCTTAGCTTTGTAAGTAAGTGTTTCCTTCTTGCAAGAATACAAGATCATGCAATGCCCTCACCTCTTTAGTTTTATCAGAGTTTTATAAACAAAGGTTCTTCCTTCCATAGTTTTATTCCTTCAGTCCAAACCTCAATGTAGTGACCACCTGTTGTTTGTGTCAGATTTACAAATAGCCACTTGGTTTTATGTTTAAAAATAACAGACTATTCACATTCCTTTATATTCCTTCTCCCACTTCCTTCTATCTTTCTCTCCCCCCAAACCCCATGTGAAAATTCTGAATGAGGAAATACATTTTAGAAACTCCACTTTGAAAAGATTTGCATTTGTCTGTGGGACTAGACGACACTGGCAGCCAGGAATGACCTAAGTTAATTGTTGAAGATTATGGAACCGTGTTCATCAGTTCAGCTGACCCTCGCAGGTGAATGCCCACACTACATCTCTAACCTTCTCAACCCAAACCAAGAGAAGGATAGGAAAAAGGGTCTGAGAAGTAAAATATGGAATGGTTTGAAACATGTGGTATAACTCTTAGCCTGCCTTCTAGAAGTGCTAGCTCATATGGTTTAAAAAAAGTTGTCTTGAGTATATATCTTTATCAAAAGGGTCAGATTCAGGCATTTCCATTCATTCATGTACCTGTAGTTCCATAGAGAAACTATGAATGGAAGTTCCATGAAAGCAAGGATTCAAACTCATTGTGGCCCAAGCTAAACTCATTGTCTTTTCTCTCCAAATACCTTCTTTCTGTGCTTTTGACTACCACTCTGGTAAACAGCACTTTCATTTTTCAAGTCTGCTAAACTAGAAGTAGTCAAGCTATATGTGACTTATTTATCCACTGAAAACTAATTGATGATTGCAGCAAATAGGGCTTCTGACTGTCTCACGTTCCCATACTTCTTATTTTAAACTTTACCAGCATCACACTAGTTCTGAACTTTTAAAAAATCCTCTTATATGGACTATATTAACTGATCTTCCTCACTCACCCATTCTCTTTCATCCTGTGCATTCTCTCCCAAGTTATGTTGATTGAAAGATTAAAGGACAGCTCCAGTTACGTTTTTTCTTTTTGAGACAGTGTCATGCTTTGTCACCCAGACTGGAGTGCAGTGGAGCAATCTCGGCTCACTGCAACCTCTGCCTCCTGGGCTCAAGTGATTCTTTTGCCTCAGCCTCCTGAGTAGCTGGGATTATAGGTGTGCACCACCACGCCTGGCTAATTTTTTGGTAGAGACAGGGTTGCACCATGTTGGCCAAGCTACTCTCAAATTCCTGACCTCAAGTGATCCATCCACCTCAGCCTCTCAAAGTGTTGGGATTACAGGCATGAGCCACTGCACCCGGCCAGATTACCTTATTTCTAGTCTTCAGTGATCTTTTCTTAAGCCCATTAAGGATGTTTCTATAATATACTGTCACTCTTACAAGGCCATATCCTTTACATAGCCTCTTCCCACTACAACAGCCCTAAAGGACTCTGAGCATCAGACAGATTGAACTTGCAAGATTCTTCAGACACCAGTGCTTGTTCTTGTTATTTTGCTTCTTGTCTATTTTGTTGAAGTCTTCATCAAGCTTAAGGTTTTGCCTAAATTCCATCTGCTTAAGGAAAATCCCACCCATGTCCTAGGTATGAATTAAGTGCTCATTCCACTGAGTCCTGTAGCAGTTTACTTTAGGTGTTACCCAGAGCTGATAGTTTTGTACAACACATTATGTTCAGCTTCTACCTGTATTCATTATGTACCCATCTTTTTCTTTCTCTTTCTCTTTAGATTGTAAGCTGTTGAGCTTTTTGTTAACTGAGTGCTAGGGGAAAATAATTTCAAAGAAGAAAACAAATAAATGACAAAATAACCTGCTTTTAAAGAATAAACATGGTGGTCTTTGAGTCTGGATACACGCGAAGTTTATTTTTGCCCATCTCTCTCTCTCCTAGGGACCTCCAGGAGCTTGACGATAGTACCCAGCTCCCTCTGCTCTGTCACTTCTCAGAAACAGCGGAAGGACTCACCACCATTCGGGCCTTTAGGTGAGTAAACACATTTTTATATAGCTGACTAGGCAAGTGCATCACCAACAAATGTTTTTCTATAAATAATTGATCATTGCTTTCATTTCGTTTCATCTTCCCATTGTGTGCCTGACAGTTTGCTAAACCAGGAATAAGAAAAATTTGGTTTAAATGATTAGAGTTAGAGTTTGCCCATCCAAAATGCTAACTATAATAAAGGATGAAGCAAACAGATTGGAAAAATCCTAGCAGTGTGACTTAGATAAGGCTTTTAAATTCCCTAACCTTGGTTTCCTCATCTATTAAATGCAGAAAGTTATCTCGCTCCTTAGAGTCATTGGACTAATTGATGTTATGCCTGCAAAGCATTAACCACATTGACTGTTGAAGAAGTATCCAAGAAACAAGTTAAATGTATAAATAATAGTAATAATAGTCTTCATAAATGGAATACTATTACACCAAAGTTGTTTTAGAATTTAATCCTTTTTCTTCAAGGTTTGTAAACAGAATAATAACCTAAATTTTTGATCGAGTGTTTGCTTTCAAAAAATTACCTATCCCAATTTTCCTGTTCAAGTAAGATTAGCAAAGAAAGTGGTATTACTGAATATTTCATTTAATCTAGAAAATTGATATTTTCGTGTCATAGTTTTCTGAAATCCTGATTGCAAGTATATATAGATTTTAATCAGAGAGTTTTCTAACCTAAGAAACTTACTTTTAAATATAGAATTGGGTCACAGAGTAGAATATAAAAAGACAACTATCCACAACATTACATTCCACAGCATGTGTACATAATCTATGTAGGTGGCCTCATGAAGCATACACACTTTCTGCACTGGTATGTTTTTCCATCATAATGTGCAATCCCTTTTATTGGAGATGTCAAAACTACTTATTGGCATTGAATGTAGATATTAACATGAAATTTATATTCTAATAGTAGCCAGCAATGATCAGTGGTATTAATATGTACACTATATTAAAGATTACTTTTTTCACCAAATAAGTACTTTCAATTCAATTTATTTAAGAAATATTTGAGTACTGAACATATGCCAGATACTTTTCTTGCTGTAGATATATAAAGACTATAAAGGCCTGGCCTTTCATTTCCAACCAGCAAAAAGTGGCACTGCTGCCCTCCCTCCCCACAGCCTCTCCACATACAGCTGCCATGTAATCCTTTCTATTTCCTTTGTGGTATTTATCTGAGTATTTTAAATTATTGTTTTTATTTGTTAACAAGTTATCTGTCCTGTCCAACTGGAAAGTAAGTTCTATCAGATCTCCCCACCCCCTGCTCTTTTTTTTTTCCCCCGCTGTTGTAGCACCATTCTCTGGGAAAAGTACCTGGAACTAAGTAAGTGCTCAATAAATATATATTGACTAAGTAGCTAGCAAGGGGTGTGTTAAGGAGCTCATACAGCAACACAAGAAAAAAATAGCAACACAGCAGGATACATAGTCTAGTATATGTATCACAAGAAACAGCTGTGTCAGAGAGCAGGGTAGCACTCTGTCTAGAAGGAATGGAGAGATAATTATTGAACAACAAACCTTTGAATGATGAATAATTGACCTGGCAGATAAAGGAGATCAAATATTCAAAGAAGATGTAACAGACGTGTGAAAACATGAAGATTTTTATTTTATATGAAAGTCAAAAGTGTCCAGTATTGTTGGAACATAGATTAAGTACAGAGAAGGTAGCTATGGGGATGAGTCTTGAAACCACAGCAGACGCCAATACATAAAGGGCATTGAATAAGTACCTTTAAATAATTTAGACTGGATTCTTTCAATATGAGGTAGTCACTGAAGAATTCTGAACAGCAAAGTGGTATGATCAGAGTTGTGTTCATCACGATAACTCTGGGATACTACTATGAACTGGGGATGGATAACATTCAAGGCAAGGAGACTCCAGGAGAGTGTTGCAGTGGTCCACGTGAGAGATTACAAAGACAGGCTAAGGAACTAAGGACCAGGAGAGAAAGCACAGATTAAGTAGTATTTAGGAAGTGGGACCAATGAGATTTAGGGTCAAACTGAGTGTTAAGCGTAAGACTGAGAGAAAAGTTGAAGGTGATTACTTCTAAGATTCTGATTCCCATGAGCGGGTAGTTTTCCAAGTTAGGAAATTGAAGATGATGCGGATAATTGGAGAAGAAGTTGATGAGTCTGGTTATGCACGGGTGTAGGTAGTAATGATATCCAGCTGGACTTTTTTAATGGTGTTTTGAGGATATAGGTCTGGTGTCTAAGAGATATCGAAGGGCAGAAGATAATAGGTTTGAATATCATTCTTTTATGGATAATAGTTAAAAGTTTTGGCCATGGATTTCATTGCTGAGGGAGAGGGTGTGGATTAAGAAAAGAGGAGCTTGCGAGATACGGATCCAAGATGGCCATTTAGGAAGAGCTCAGGATTGCAGCTCCCAGTGAAAGCGCAGAGGGTGAGTGGACGCCGCATTTCCAGATGGATTTTTATTGCCGACAGACCAGGAGATTCCCAGGCGGAGGAGCCCCATGGGACACCAGCGCGACTGTTATCGCCGGCGCAGCCCTTTCGGTCCCTGTGGCTGTTTTGGCCCGCGCGGCTGCTTTGCAGCACCCCGGCATGGCAGTTCTCCATACAAAATACACTGGTCCAGGTGCCCTTTTAGCTGGCAAATGGAGCCCCGGGAAGGCACAGTCGCCCATTCATCTGACTAAAAAGGGGTCTGAAACAGGGAACCAGGCCAGGAGATTCCCGGGCAAAAAACAAAAAAGCCCCACGAATCTCAGCGCTGCTGTTTAAGCCGGCACAGTGAGGCGCTGCATGGGAAATCACACAGAACCCAGCGCCTTTTCAACAGGCAACTAGAACACCTGGGAGAGAGTCAACTGTTCGACTAAAAAACAGAAGGCTCTGAGGCAGGGAGTCAAGTGATCAGGCTCGGCTGATCCCACACCCACAAAAGAACAGCAATCAGAAACTCTTTGGATTGAGAGTTTCACAGCAAGCACAGCTGAAGCCGGAACCATCCAGCTCTGTGGGGGAGGGGCGTGCACCATTGCCAAGGCACTCCACCACTAAGGAGGTAGTCTGCCATTGCTGAGCCAGCCCGCCATTGCTGAGGCAACCTGCCATTACAGCAAGAGTCCGCCATTACAGAGGCGGGCCACCAATGCTGAGACAGTTCTAACTACACCCATATAAACAGGATGCAGGGAAGCTCACATGGCAGCTGGGTGGAGCCCACAGCAGCACAGCAAACCCTCAGGAGGCAGACAGTGACTAGGCTGCCTCCTTACTGGGCAAGGCAGCCCTGAAAAAAAAAGGAAGCAGCACAACGGAAACTGGTAAATAAAGCCCTAACTCCCTAGGACAGAGCACCTGGGAACAAAAAGCGGTTTATGAGTTCTGCTGCAGCAGACCTAAACGTACCTGCCCAGCAGCTCTGAATGAACAACGGAGCTTACAGCTCAGCACTTGAGCTCCAATAAAGGACAGACTGTCTCCTTAAGCAGCTCCCTGACCCCCGTATATCCAAAGAGTCACCTCATAAAAGAAAAAACAGAATGACTTTTGGCGGGTATCCTTCTCAGATAAAGGTAGCAGAAGCAGAAACTGGTAGCAACCCTTACTGTTCTGCAGCTGCTGCAGGTGATCCCCAGGCAAGCAGGGCCTGGAGTGGACCTCAGCAGTCCTACAGCAGAGGGGCCAGACTGTTAGAAGGAAAGCTAAGAAAAAGAAGTAACTTCAGCATCCACAAACAGAATGTCCACTTAGAACCCAATCTGAAAGTCTGCAACTACAAAGACAACAGGTGGATAAATCCACAAAGATGGGAAGAAATCAGCACAAAAAGGATGAAAATACCCAAAACCAGATCACCTCCCCTCCTACAAGGGATCACAACTCCTCACCAGCAAGGGAACAAGGCTGGATGGAGAATGAGTGTGATGAAATGACAGAATCAGGCTTCAGAAGGTGGGTAAGAAGAAACTTCTGTGAGCTAAAAGAACATGTTCTAACCCAATGCAAAGAAACCAAGAACCTTGAAAAAAGATTTGATGAAATGCTAATGAGAAACAACAACATAGAAAGGAATATAAGTGAATTGATGCAACTGAAAAACACAACATGAGAACTTGGGGAAGCATGCACAAGTTTCAACAGCCGAATTGACCAAGCAGAAGAAAGGATATCAGAGGTCGAAGATCAACTCAATGAAATAAAATGAGAAGGCAAGAATAGAGAAAAAATGGTTAAAAAGGAATGAACAAAGTCTCCAAGAAATGTGGGACTATGTGAAAAGACCTAATCTACGTTTGATAGGTGTACCTGAATGTGACAAAGAGAATGAATCCAAGCTGGAAAATACTCTTCAGGTATTAACAGGAAAAATTCCTCAACCTAGCAAGGCAGGCCAATATTCAAGCCCAGGAAATACAGAGAACACCACAAAGATATGCGTCAAGAAGAGCAACGCCAAGGCACATAATCCTCAGGTTCACCAGGGTTGAAATGAAGGAGAAAATGCTAAGGGAAGCCAGAGAGAAAGGTCGGGTAACCCACAAAGGGAAGCCCATCAGACTCACAGCAGACCTCTCAGCAGAAACCCTACAACCAGAAGAGAGTGAAGGCCAATATTCAACATCCTTAAAGAGAAGAACTTTCAGCCCAGAATTTCATATCCGGCCAAACTAAGCTTCATAACTGAAGGAAAAATAAAATACTTTGCGAACAAGCAAGTACTCAGAGATTTCATCACCACCAGGCCCACTTTACAAGAGCTCCTGAAAGAGGCTCTACACATAGAAAGGAACAACCAGTACCAGCCACTCCAAAAACATACCAAATGGTAAAGAGCATCAACACAATCAAGAATCTGCATCAACTAACGAACAAAACAGCCAGCTAGCATCAAAATGGCAGTATCAAATTCACACATAACAATATTATCCCTAAATGTAAATAGACTAAATGCCCCAATCAAAAGACACAGACTGACAAATTGGAT